TGAGATGGCCTTGTGTCTGTGCACGTCAAGATGGCAGTGTTGGATAACTCATCCTGTGCCACCGAGACTTCTGGATTGTAATTATTTTTGGATATTCGGACCGGTAGAGGAGAGATGAGTCCTATAGATATTCTGCTGGCCAGGAGATTCAATTTATTTAAAAAACAAAACCAAACCATCCAACAAAACAACACCCAACCAAACAAAAACCAACCATCTAAAAAAGATCACCACCAAAAACACCCCTGAAACCAAATTTGTAGTCCTCTATATGATACCTTCAATGCGCTACAGGTAATCTTTGTGTTATAACTTGGTAATTAATCAGTGATAGTGCTTTAGCCAACTGGTCCCTCTGATATCCCTAAAAGCAGCCTTTGTAGATGAGGAATTCCATGGCATGTACTCCAGTCTTGCTGAAAGGCTTCCATCAGTTGAGTCACTTCTAAATAGAAAGGTTGAGAAGGAGAATTTAGTGTTATTCGCTGATGTCCAGTTTGTGGTCCTTCAGAACTTAAGAACTTATCTCTAAATATTGTACTGAAGGTTTCTGAGTATCATGTTATTATGTTGACATTTATGCATAGTGGTGATTTGGAAGAGCAGACTGAAGCAACAGTGTAATTCACAGATCTGTGCATTAGAGGATGAGAAATGTTTTTTTCCATCATTTTCATGCAAAGGAAACATAAAAAGTATGCAGATGCAGTTGTTTATTACTTAATGATTTTGTGTTGATTTACTACGTTAATCATTACTGTCATTTGGGTGCTTTTGTGAAGTTATGTTCCAGAGTTTGCCACTACTTGTGCAAGGCTTGCTGTAGATTCTCACCTCAACAACTCATCTGAAATATTCTTTTGGCTGTCAAATTCAATTGTACTCTTGAATCCATAGATGGGCCAATACAAGGGAAGGGTCCTTCTGGGACCCTGAGTCCTTCCAATTATTGAATGGGGATCTGGAATCCTATTCAGTGGGGATCCAGAGTCCTTCCATTCAGTGAGCTCATGAGGCCTTCAGCGCTGGAGCTCTTTGGAGACCTCCATAAAGGAGGAGGAGGAGCTGGACTCAGTGATCTTTATGGATCCCTTCCAACTCAGGATACTCTATGGCAGTGAACATTGTTTCTCCAGTGTAGACTGTAGGTGCTGTCTTCTTAACTTCAGTTACTTCTAAGCCCATTATAGTGAGATTGCTTTCCATATGAGGTGATATACTGGGTTCTGGATCACGTCTGGACTTGTGTGTCTCTTGCTTGTTGTAGGTGAATAGAATTGTGCAGGTTTTTCTGATTATTTTTTCACCTCTCTCAGCACTGATGCTGTATGGTGTTGGTACACCTTCAGGCAGTTTCTGGCATAATTAAGATTTTCTGAGTTCTGATGGCAGCTCTGCTCTCAGCGTGTGAGCAGGCTTGCTTCAGTGCCAGTGTTTCGTTAGGAGCTTTGAATTCAGTGTGCTGGTTCCTACTTCTGCAGTGGCACAATTAATGTCTTAATTTTTAGGTTTGATGCTTTTATCATACTTTTTTTTTTTTTCCCAGTCCTGAACATACAGTGTGTACCACTAAGTAATAAGTTCCTGGGTGAAACTGAAGTACTGTTTTTAATCATTAAAGACATAAATGATTTGAGACCCAGTTTCTTAAGAGAGCAAGTTGAGTGCAGTGGAGTCATTAAACCCCTTCTGCTATAAATGGGAGGAAACGATGGGAAGACTACTCTCAGAAAGGCTTTTCAAATTAGGATTAGTTTATTTTCTTGTTCATGCACATCCATTTGGCTCATCACTTGAGAGAACTCTATCTCCGTGTTTTACTGTAGGTAGGTGAAAAGTCTGAATGTAGTCTTGGTAGGATTTGATTCCATGGGGCGTTGACTGGAAAAGGGAATTTCTAGACTTATTGATGCAGTTAAATGTTGATTCATTTCTCACTGTTGTGGCTTTGTCATTACCTCAGTTAGGGTATTTTGTATGTTTGTGTACTAACTTAGGTTAATATTTGGGCTTAACTGCCTTCTGGACTGGCTTTGTATTTGCGAAATGGTTCTCCCTTTGTCTGATAGTAGTAGAGATCTCAGCATTACTCAGTTGTGATGTGTTTTGTGAGGATTAGGACTCGGTAGCGAGCAGAGACCCAAAGCAGCATGTTTTGTGCCCAGGTTGATGGCTGGTGTTGTGTTTTACCTGCTGGTTGGCTGCTCAGTGCGCACGAAGCTGGGCAGTAGCTTGTAGTGCCACATTGCCTTTTCTCACTGAATAGCCTGGAGGAATGGCTGGGGAACAAGGAACACCAGCCAGGCTGGAGGCAGGAGACTGCAAGAAATGCAAACAAAGGTGCTGGTGGGAGACCTGGGAGGCGTTAAGATTTTTGCATGGGAAGGGGTAGAGATGGAGTGTAGGAAAATAGCTGTTATGAATTTCCCTGCTCACAAACCCTTCATGAAGCTTCATTACTTGTTTGTTCCTTTTTCTTAGCTTCATTTTCTTTTTCTGGCCTAGCCGGTTTGAAACTGGTTCTGTGGCTTCCCTTGAAGCTCTGCTTCCATTCTGCTCTGGTAATTGCACAGAGAAAGTTCCTACTGACACACATTTTAGCAATGCAGCACTTACGTAAGTCTGCAAATAAGCTTGTGTCTGGTTAATGGGTAAGAACAAATACATACAATATTCAAATGGAATCTATTCAGTTATCAGAACTGTGAAAAGCAACTCTTCTGTGGGTGCTGGGTGCCATGCAAAGCAGCTGGGTGGCAGGGCTTGTGGGGTGTCATTGTGTGAGGTGCAAGGGGTTGTGCCTGGGAAAGGGAGCTCTTATCTCTTCTGTCACTTTGCCTGAGTCTGAGGGTTTGAGCCCAAATCCTATTTTGTGTAAACTTCTAATTGTAGTCTTCTAATAGGGATAATATAGGTATTTGAGTTAAATGGATGCACTTCCTGAAGAAGTGAAGCAATGAGGAAGAAGAGGACGTGTTTTTGTTCAGCTTTTTGTTGTATTTTGTTTTGTTGTGACAAGGGTTAAAGGATTTCCAAGATTGAATCATAATAGAAACATCCTGCTTTTCCACCAGCAGGTAAACAACTGCCATGATTAAAACAACTTAAAATGACATAGGAACATGGGTGGTTAGAATTTAATATCTTTTAATGAAATAATTCAGCTCTTTAAACAGCGGAGAAACTAATCCAGCTCAAGAAGAAAGCGAACTTGTGAGGCCTTAGTGAGCTGGTTTGGTTTCTGGGTGGGTCAGATAACATCAGAGCAAGACCAAAGGAGCTTGGCAAGTTCACTGGTGCTGAGCTCCTTTGGGTCTGCTCTGTTACTGAGCAGCTCTCCTGCATCTGCTTTTCTGTAGGCTTTGCAGCTTTCTAAATGTGCTGTGATAGTTTTCTTCTGGTTGTGAGAAAGCATTTCTATTTTTTTTTTTCTTGAATACTTTCGTGATCTGAAATTTGAGTTACTTGTAGTACAGAATGGTTTGTTGTTGCAGTTAAGCTGGATGAATAAACTGGACTTCCACCATCATCTCCTTGCATATAATACTCAGAGGCTTGTTACTGTGTTGTAGTAGGTCATGAGGTTTTTAACCAAGATTTGTGAGTGTATCTCTGAGTTAAGAATTTATGAAGCAGTGTGTCCTGGTGGCCAGGAAGGCCAGTGGTATCCTGGGGCACGTTAAACAGAGCATGGCCAGCAGGTCAAGGGAGGTGATCCTCCTGCTCTGCACCATCCTGGTGAGGCCACTTCAGAATACTGTGTGGACTGGGTCTGGTTCTGGGCTCCCCAGTTGAAAAAAGACAGGGATTTCCTAGAAGGAGTCCAGTGAAGGGCCACAAAGATGATGGAGGGCCTGGAGCATCTCCTGTATGAGGAAAGGCGGAGTAACCTGGATCTGTTCAGCCTGGGGAAAAGAGGACCGAGGAGGGATCTGGTTAATGTTTATAAATATCTGAAGGGAGGTGGGAGGCAAAGGATGAGGCCAGGCTCTTCTCAATCATGTGTAGCAATAGGAAAAAGAGCTGTGGCCCGAGACTTGTACATAGGAAGTTCATACACACAAACAAAAGAACTTCTTTATGGTGAGGGTGATGGAGCTCTGATGCACAGTTGCTCAGTGAGGTTGTGGAGTCTCTTTTTATGGAGGTATTCAGGACCCATCTGGATGCCTGCCTGTGCAACTTATGATAGGTCATCTGCTTTAGTAGGAGGCCTTGCACTCGGTGACCCCCTGCCAAACCTCTGCTGCAGGCTGGATGCCCCCACCAACTCAGGCTGCCCAGGGCCTCATCCAGCCTGGCCTCAAAGGCCTCCAGGGATGGGGCACCCACAGCCTCTATGGGCACCCAGTGCCACGGCCTCACTGCCATCTGATTAAAGAATGAGTTCCTGCATTCTGTACGTGTTATCTGGGTTTGTCTTGACTCAAGTACAACTCCTTGCACTTGACCTTGTTGAACCTCATTGGGTTCATCAAGTCCACTTTTCAAGCCTGTCCAGATCCCTCTGGATGGCATCCAAGGAGATTACAATGTCACTGTTTCAGCATTTTAAATACAAAGATAATATCAGTAAGATGAATTCCTGCTCTGTTTCTAAGTGTATTAATTTTCCTTGGTCTTTTATTTCACTATTAATTCTTTTACAATACAGTAAGGGTAACAGTGTCATGTATAATATACAAAATACAGTGGGTAAGAGAACCGCAGTGCTTGTTCAGGGGGAAAAATATATATATATACAAAAGTTGATGGTTTCAAATTAAGTATTTTCATAGTTTCCAGAAACATTTTCATAGTAAATACTTTGTGCAAACCAGTTACTAAGAGTTTGATAGGGAAGTAAGTTTAACCCTCCAAACGTCTGGTTTAATTATCATTGATAACGTCTGACTATTTCCATTAATTAAAGTTACATTTTACAAAGCTTAATTTCTTTCTTTTCTTTTTTTAATAAGGATATAGAAATGAGCCAATTAATGACACTTCTTCATTTTCAGAAAGATGAAGGTAGCGATGGTAGTTTGAGCGATAGCCACATATCTCCTCCTGCCAAACGTACCTCAAAACATGCGGATCCTGTGTGCAAAGACAAATCAAAATCACGCAGTACTGGGCAGCGAGAGGAATGGAGCATCTCAGCTGGACAGTCCAGGTAACTTGATGCGAAGAGGAGTACAGAGTTTGTTCAATTCTTTCAGTATTCATAATGCACTTCGCTTATTTCTTCAATGAGCTGCAGCTTGAGGGTATTTTTGATGAGCTACCAACAAACAGGGAAGAGAGGCAGGAAATGACAATGGAAAGAAAGTCACCCTTCCCTATTTTTGGTTACAGGGACCTGAATAAATTACTTATTATCCAAAATAGAAGTAATTTGTTTCATTTTCTAACTCCTTATAGTTTTAAAAGCCAGTCTTTTGTTCCTAAGGTTCTTCTCACAATTACAAGTAATTATGAGATGTAGACTGTATGTTCCTGGAGACTGAATTTTGGTTAATAGTGATCTTGTAGATGGGTATTTCATGTTTGTGTACAAATAACAAATGTTCTTCTCTGCACTTTGTATATATGAATGACTAGATATGAATTCTATACACTTTGTATATGTGAATGACTGTAATTCACTACAGAGCTGTCATCTGCTAGGGTGAGATATTTTGAAAAGCTCTGTAAAGCTTAAATAGATCTGCTCTTTTTTTCTGTTTCTTTTTGCTTTTAAAACAGAATAAATTGAGTTTATTTGAAATTCATGACTTTTTTTTTTTTTAACAAGTATAGACTTGTATTTATTAGGAATGCTAGGAGAAAAAAATAATGCTGTTGGGAGAATTTAGATCACTGTGTCAGATGGAACTTAATCAGGTTACTGGTGCTCTTTTTCCTTAAGACAAAAAGCACTGTGACTCCTCCATGCATCTGAGCTTTTGTTGGTTTTGTTTGGCTAAAATCTGGAGTGCTGTGCTTAATAATGATGTTGAGCCTTTCAGACTTCGCCAAGGTTTCGTTGCTGAGCCTTTAATTGTAATCAGGTTTCATTTCCTCGGTTCTGTTGTCTGAAAAACATCAAGTATCTGTCCAGAAGAACATAATTGGGATCTTGAATGTGCATGAGATTTTTAAATATGGCTTTCAAAAATTTGCAAAATGGTTGCAAAGCCTTGCAAAAACCCTTACTTTTCATGTATTTGGTAGGAAAATAATAGCTAAAGCCCACATCTTCTGTTGAGTTGAATGGTTTGTAGTATGTTGAACTCTTGGACAAATTCAAGCTCAGATTCCATTTATTATTTAGTTCTCCTCTTTTTATTTTTTTCCTATGAAATTCATTGTAGCTTTTGTGTTTGAGAACAAGGTGCCTCTTCCTGTCCAGTACTGGTGTGCACTGTGCACTGCAGGTCACTCATCTTTAAGGTACTTGGTGCTTCTTAGGGTGGAAAAGATTAAAAATACACATATTTTTTTATTCTGACTTGCTTTTAATAGCAATATTCACAGATTGCTTCTAACAGTCTGCTCATAGCTGTCGAGTTCTTGTTGATTTTTATTCTACATTACTGTTCTTTCAGAAGCATTATGTCCAATGGTGAACAAATGTGAAGTTTTTTAAAGGTGAATGAACAATTGCTTAGGCAATAACGTTTCAGAAGAATTTGGACTATGTTGTTTTCTTAAGCTGTGGAATAGTAGAGGTTAATTTTCTGAAAAGTTAATTTAAAAAGTATTGATAGAGAACCTGAAATTACTTCCCTACCGATTGAAGTACTCCAGGCATAAAATAATCCTATTCAGTTCTTAATTTTATTAAATTTTCTTTTTGTGAGTGTGTGACTACAGAACAGCTTTCTTTGCGTCTCCTACTTTATTCCAAGTGCTTAAATGTTAATTGCTTTTCAAGAGCTATATCAAGATCCTGTTCTGAAGCAGAAAGGGAGAGTTAATAGTAGGACATGGCATGAGGGAATGTTGGAGGGATTAATCAGAGATATTTGGATAATTGGGAGGATTCACATAATTGGAATTTGGCAGTTTTGCCCTCGTTCCGATGTTGGGCATGAAGCAGAATCTTCAGAGACAGAAAGTCTGCTCTTAGTTTCACAATGATTTTGAAGTCCTGGTTTATTGTGCAATGTTTTAAGTTTGTATTTAAGTTCTAAGGTTTTATTTTTGTTGTGTAACAGTTGCTTGGCTGAGGAATTCTAATGTTTGTCTACTGTAATTGTTTCCTAGGTTAACTTCTCCACCTGGTGCTACACTACCAAATGGACGTAGCTTATGTAAGTGCATTTCAGTGGACCCCGTAGTACCTACTTCTACATTTACCAGCTTTATGGCAATGACTTTCAGTTGCATATATTTGTTAATAACTTCACTGATTGCTTATGCTGTTTCGATCTGAAATGTTGCTGTTTTGGCTCAGTTTTCTTCTGTTAACATCTTGGATGCTCTCTATTGACATGGAGAGCATTCTCAGATGAAGTTCCATTTCTTTTCTCAATTCAGACTTCTTGGCCATGATCATGATGTTTACCTTAATTCCCAAATTTAGTATTGGGAACTAATTTTGGCCTTCCTCTCGCAGTTAGTGTCTGTAATTTACTTACACTCTTTGAGAATTGGCCTTCTGTGGCTCTTAGCATTACTTTGTTATTGCTCTGGAGAGACCTGCCTTGTCTGCAGCTCCTTCTGCCTTGGTACAGCTTTCCGATATGATTCTCCTTTCCAGACTTGCCATCTCATCTCATATCTCAGTGAGAGCCACGTTGTCCTTTGTGTCCCCTTTTCATAAACTGTCTCATTTAATTCTACGTTGACTGTGTAAATGTTACTTCCTGAAGCATTTTTGGTATTTTATTATTTATTAATTGTGGGGCCTGAGGGGCAATCAGGAGGGGGACCCCTTTTTTGTTTGATTCTGTACAGAGCAGTTGGTACAGACTTGTGAAATCAGTGTATTGTATCTGATGTCTTGATAATGTATTTGGAAGCCTAAGAATTGAAACCAAGCATGCATTTAGCATCAGTGTTGAATTAAAAATATCGAGTGGATATTTGAATATCAAATTTCAATCATAAAATAAGATCTATTTTGTAAGGAAACAAACTTAAGCCTGAAGAAATAGTTCAAAAAACAACTTTGATGGGAATTTTAAGTATATATTTCTTAAGCGAATGTAAGGATGCTCTTGTTGTGCTCCATAATAGCTTCTGGTTTATTGTCCTTGTTAAGTATTCTGCTTACTAACTCTTGTTTGTGAAAATGTTCTTGACTGCATTTTAAAGTAGTAATACAAATTTCTCTTAGCTCTCAAAAGCCATCCCCTTCGAGGGGAAAAAAAGGGAGATGGGGACCATGCTTGCATAAACGGAGATATAGAAGTCAGAAAAAGTTGTCGGTCCAGGAAAAACAGATTTGAAACTTTGAATCAGAGTTTGTTGTTTGATCAGCTAGTCAACAGGTACGTGGGGATGCTTCAGTTGTATTCACAAAACGTCCTGATTTTTTATGAAGTTAGAAAACCTTGTCTTCCAGTGCCATCTTTGTGTTTTACTGTGCAAACCTATTAGCGTTGAGGCAAGCTGGGTTGTGGTTTGAGTTAAAGGCTGGGTCCCCTGCTGTAACTGCCAGTTTTACCCATGCACTAAATGCAAAGCTGCTTACTGGACTTCTGGTGAGGAGTAAGCTCCTTTGTGTTTCCCCCTTGATAAAGCTGTGTGTGTTGGCAGTTACTGCAGGGTGGCTGACACGCTGTAAACCCACACCCTAGTTTGTCTCTTAGTAACCCATTCACGTAGTGATATCTGAATGTGATGTAAAGTAGTGATTGGCGACAATGCACGGAAAGCTTCCCAGATATTGCTTGTATGATTCTGATCATAAAATTATCAAAAGTGTGTAGCTTGCTTTTTTGTTGCTTTTGTTTTTGCTCTGTTATTTACCGTTTGTTAACAATTCACGTAGGGTGGGTGTCGCTTTTTGACATTTTCTGTGCAGACAAAGTAGGTCAGAGGGGGAAGCATGGTCTGGTCTGAGCATAGGAATGGGAGCCAGAAATACTGTTCTTGAACTGTTATTTCTGCGTGGCCCTGGGCAGACCGCTTAGTGTGTGTCAATTTTCCCACCTGTAAAATGGATTTCTATGGTCACATCTCTGAGTGTCTGCTTGCCAGAGCTTGAAAAATGATATGAAGATTGAATTGCCAAGTATCTTTATTGCTAAACATACTCTGTTAAATCTTTGATTCATTAAATTTTCTTTTCAATTTACTTAATAACTACTTCATATCACTTCACAAATTGATACTGATTTACATTTGCGTTTTTAGTAGCAGTTTGAATCTCCCTCTCCTCGTGGACAATAGGAAAAAGTCTACCATGAACACCATAATTTGATAAGATTGTGGTACTGAAGTCTGTATATGAACTTTGACTGCAGTGCCTCCAATAATCAATCATTGGAGGTTTTTAAGAGCAAGTTAAGCAGGTGTCAGCAGTGATTTAAGTACTGGGCAGTTTGTTTCGACCTGGAAGAATTTGTGGACTTTTCCAGGCCCCCCAAGTCCTGCTTTCTTTGGTAATGAACCATAGCATGACTTTTCTTGAAGCAGTAAATATCACACATCACAGATGCTGTGGAAGAACTGTGTAAAATTGAGAGGGGCATTCTTAATGAAATCTTTACTTTACTGACATTTACTGACTTTACTGACAAGAAGTTCCATTGACTTCTTTCTGGACAGGTTTTCCCAATTCAGATTTACTTTTGAACAGCTTAAAACAAGTGAAAGTTTCTATTTCTTACAGTTATTATGCAACGATAGTAGAATTCAAGAAGGAACTGACCATAATCTCTGCAGAAAGCAGTAACTAGGTGGTCAGAACAGCTAGCCAAATATTTGGGTTAATTCCACTAATCACTTTGTTGTTTCCTTCCTTAGCAATAAAGCATCTTGGACAGGGTTGTAACTCATACCCTAGGATTGCTTTGCAATCTCTTTATAAATACTCCAGATAATGAAATGTATGAATAATACATTAATAATAATGATATAATACTCCAGATAATAATAACAATAAATACTCCAGATAATGAATGAAAATGTCGTCTAGTTAGATAGTAGATAAGAAGTGATAGAGTAATGAGCTCAAGTAATGAATGATGAAGTTCTAGGTGTTACTGATCTCATAGTTTTTAAATTGTTTCTTTATTTTTGGCTTTTTGAGGCCAAGGTGGGAAGCTATAAAGTTTACAGTTGTGAGGCATGGACTGCTTCCCGGTCCCATAATCATGTGGATAAAAAGCAAAGCTTTTCCTAAGCAGTTTCAAATGTTGCATGCTACAACCTGTGCCAAGCACAAAAATACAGTCTAAAACATTACAGTTTAATTTGATCCTGGATCATCAGCATTTTTTCTTATGCATAATCTTTAGTTTATATTCTGTAGCTTCACCTTTCAGTTCTCTTTATTAAGGTAGTATTTTCCTTAATTGCTAGACTCAGAAAGCTACATTAAAAATTCCATATTTTAAGTCATTTGTATGTTTAGTCATCTTAGTGACCCGGGAATAACCATAACAGACCATAATTAGATATGCTAAGCTATTGGACAATAAAGAGTTCCATGTGTCTACTATTTTAAGACTATTCTTTTTTTCTTTTTCTTTTTGCTAATTGTTGCATATATTTCAGTACTGCTGAAGCTGTCCTACAGGAAATGGATAATATTAACATCAGGAGAAACAGGCGCTCTGGGGAAGTAGAACGGCTGCGAATGTGGACGGATACAGAGTTTGTAAGTGCAGCATTTCTTATCTCTTGGATGAAAGCAATATAAAGGGAGAGCACATTTGTTTTTGTATCATCCGTGCACGTGCCAGTAGCTCTGTGGATCCTCATCTGAGGATGACGTTAGAAAACTGGCTGAACTCAAATTTGGAAGGAAGTTGATGAAAGTGGTATGTATTTTGGCAGGGTGCAAAATCAGGTGTTCTTTATTGATGAATTGACTACTGTGACCATCTGATTTGCTCTGGTGGTTCTCTTTTGATTTGATACATGCTCTGGCAGTGTGAGAACAGAACTAAGGACTGTCATCTGTTTTGTTGCCTAAAACAGCCTCATACTGCTATTACCTCTCAGCCTGGATACTGAGAGGTTTGTTTTAACACCTATTGAATGAGAGTACTTTTGTAGTCTGTCTCTGGAGGGCTCTGAAGAAACACCTGAGGCCTAGAAATTATGTAGTGTTACTACACTGTGCATTAACAGTGTGACATGGGATGGTACTGATGGGGTATGTGTTACTTTTATTCCAGGAGAACATGGATATGTATTCACGAGTGAAAAGAAGAAGGAAATCACTGAGGAGAAATAGCTATGGGATTCAGAACCACCATGAAGTGTCCACAGAAGGTGAAGAAGAAGGTATGGATTGTACAGGATTGTAAGGGTTTGTCTGAAATATTTACAAAACAATGCTCTTCTCAGCCTAAAATATTACGTAAAGTAGTAAGCTGCAGAGAATAATTTGGTTTGGGATCTGGATTTGGATCTATTAAGCACCTAATGAAGTTTACACTGAAAAAAGTAAAAATTTAGGGATTGCTGCAAGTAGTTTTCTTTGAATAAAACCAATTCAAGTTTATCTGAAAGTAGTACAACAAAACTTGGTTTCTAAATATGTGTTTTCTGCTTTCCTTTACCTGTGTTTTCTGTATTGCTAAATAACCGAAACTTCTCTCATATTCCCTCTAACAATGCTCTGTGTGTATGAAACCAGCATTTGTTGTATGTGCTGCAGAACTGTGCATGTATTGATTGACTCGCTATTTGTCTAATCATGGATGACTTCCCAGAAAGAATATATAAGTCAATTCTGCATCCTTCCTTTTGTGAAGGTATTAACTGAAGTCTCTAATTTTTTTTTCTATTTTTCTATAGTTTTCTAGTTTATTTCTAGTTTATTTTCTATAGTTTTCTATTTTCTGAATCTTAGAAGGCTTGTCAAGATCTGAAATTCTCCTTTTTAAAATGTTGCTTGAGAATGGCCATTGGTTTCAAAAAGTGCTGGAGAAAGAACGGATAATGGCTAACTTGAAGGCATTATCTGCAGCATGCTTGATTTCCTTAGGAAGTCAGGATCAAACTTGACTTTAGGGATGCATGCAGGGTACAGCATAGTGTCTTTTAATTTCAAACTGAAACATTGCTGTAGGAAGTTTGGTCTGTACCAGTTAGTAAGAATGCAGTCTTAATTCTGAGATCCAGGGACAGAAATACAGATCATATTAACAGATGGATAACAGATGGATTAATGTTAGGTAATAACATTATGAAGTGGGCTCATTTGCTTTGTGTAAAACTTACAATGTGAATCTTATTGTTATTTTTCTGCTATATCAAATATTGATTTTCCCAGGCTACTGTGTGAAAAGAGAGAGAAGAGAAGCATTATTCTTAACTTGGGGGATAATTACTGAAGGAGAAAGATAGCAAGATAGCAGACGTTTCCAGTACTTCACAACTAAAACTGATCTGATTATACTTCTGTCTGTTGCTTTTCCAGAACTGTCTGTGGAAAACTGGAAGAGGTTTTGAGAATAGGTTGTAGATTTATCTTGGTCTTCAAATTTCTAGTGACTTGCCAATTAGTTCTGATTAATAGAAGGGGAACAATTCTCAATGTCCATTAAATTATTAATTTTTAGGGTGAGGATAATTCTGGTATTAAGAAGATGAGTTTTGAAATTTTTTCCCTTTCGAAACAGAGTCTCAGGAAGAAGATGGAGATATAGAAGCAGAAGAAGCTGAAGGAGAAGAAAATGACCGACCATATAATCTAAGACAGAGAAAAACTGTTGAAAGGTATCAGGCCCCTCCAATAGGTGAGGAACTGGACCCTGCTCATACAGTTCTGCTATATTTACTTCTAGGAAACACCGTGGGCCTGGGAAGGGAATTTGTATGGCTGCTCCTCATCACTGAAAGAGATCCCATGCAGTGCTTAGTGACTTCTGTACTTGCCTGTTCTTGTTCACTGTGTGTGTGAGATTACTCAGAACATCTGTAAAGTGAACTGTGGGGCATCTCTCGTGCTTGCTGCCACATTGAACTTTGCACATACTGCCTTGCACTGGGCTCAGTGTTGGAAAGTAGTTGGCAAGAGATGAGCTCAGAAAGCCTAATAAATAATTACGTAGAAAAATTGCTAATTGTTATAAAAATTGCTAATTGTTTTTTTTTTTTTTTTTTTTTTTTGAGTGATAAGCCTAATTTATGGCTGGATAAATGCATAGCAGTGGTAACCATGCATTACCTCAGTGAGAAATTCTTAATTTGAGCTATTAGAGAAACCAGTGATAGAAATTGTTGCTAAACTCCGATTTTTGTAGCTCCATTTATTTTTTTTATTGTTATTTTTTTTTTAACTGATGTTACAAACCTGTCACTTCTCTCATTCAGTGCCAGCTCACCAAAAAAAGAGAGAAAATACACTGTTTGATATTCACAGATCTCCTGCAAGAAGAAGCCATATCAGGTAAGTGTCAGTCTTCTGGTACACGGTTGTTTGCATGGTACATTTCTATTATCTTCTGATTTTAAAAATGTTGTTTGTTTCATTCATGCATATGGATGGGTCTTGAATTGTGTATCAGGTTCAGATCCTTATCAGCATATAAGAATGCTGATTTCACAGCATTTCACAATAGAAGCTTTCACAGTAGAATAGAATAGAATAGTATAGAATAGAATAGAATAGAAGCTATCACAGTAGAAGCTTTGTGATGAGGAATCTGGAAGCAGACTGGAAGCAAGTGTGCTGCAAGTACCAGGAAGGGATTTGTACACTGCGCAGTAACTTTTTCTTTAAGGGTTTCTATTTAGTATTTAATTCTAAAGCAGCAGTTAAAATAATGCCCTTCTGCTGTTCTACAAGATCTAAAAAAAAATGAGTAATTTCTTTCTTTTCATTCAAGTTGCAAGTAGCATTAGCAACTTAACACAATGTTAGCTGAAAATGATTTTTGACTTTATCTTTTGCGTCCAAGAAATCCGTAGTTTACCCAGCTCTCTTGCAAGCAGCTGAAAGGCTCTTATTTAGCAAACTAGATTAGATTGTTGGTGTGATAATAATTTCAATCAAAACTGTAAGAACTTCTGCTCAGTGGCAGAATCCTAATATCCTGCAAGTTGCTTTGAAATATTAATTACCATTTATCATTTAGGAGAGCGTTTCTATTGCATGTCATGCATCTGCAGCATTTTATTGGATAATCTCTGAACTTCTACTTGCTAGCAAGATGCAGAGGGTTTGAAAGCAGATATCCTCGGAGGTTGGTGGCCCTGCATGTGGCAGGGGGTTGGAGCTTCGTGATCCTTGAGGTCCCTTCCAACCCTGGCCATTCTGTGATTCTGTGATCCCTTCAGTTTTAACATGCTTATTTTTCCACTACCATTTTATTTCTACTTCTCGGGATGTTTTACACTCTTGAAGAAGTTCTTTCCAATTGTGTAATGTTCTCTTTGATATGTTTTAAAATGCATTTAATTTTTGGTCCTTTACTTGTTCTGTTTTAGCAGAAAGCCTGTGATCAATGCATATCATGTTCTTTCAAATGATGCAGCTCACCGTATTCACTAAAGGTGCAGGAGTTATTCTGTGAGCCAAACCTTGTTTGCTTGTGCAAAAAAGCTGCTTTTTTTCACACCAATTAAAAAAAAAAAAAAAAAAAAAGAAAACAAGAAAGACCTCAAAAATTGGACACTTTCCTATACAGAGAATCTAGTAATGTATTGATGGTATTTTCGGAGAGTTTTCTGAAATACTGCAATACTGCCATAAGAAATGGGTCATACAGATGTTGAAAAGTGAATGACACACGAGTAGTTTGTACAAGTTCTGCTGTTCAGATGTAATCTCCCCTTTTATGAAGTTTTGCTGTAGGAGGTATGGAATTAAAAAAAATATTCTGAGGGAAGCATCAAACTGAATAAGCAGATCTTGGTGTTTCTGTTGTGTTACAGATGGATAAGGTGTTGGGAAACTTTTTTTTATAGCTATCTGAACATCAGCAACTTGAGGACTGGATACTTAATGACACTCACTGTTATTTATGTTAACTGGACCCCATCTTACAAAAATTTGCTGTTCTAGTGATGTTCACATTGATATTGGACATCCTTGAGACTGTAAATGATGATATCATCATCCCCTCCTCATGACTATTTTGATACTCAATACAACAAGAATTTGTGTGTGTCTGGTAAACCTGAGCAATACAGTTTGCCCTTTCAATTTGATTTTATTAAAAAATCAAAACATGCTGTTCCACTGTGAAAAGGACTGTGAAGAGGGACAGAGTTTGATATTTATTTTGCCATTTGAATAGGAGAAAGAAGCATGCCATTCACAGCAGTGATACCACTTCCTCAGATGAAGAACGTTTTGAAAGAAGAAAATCTAAAAGCATGGCCAGAGCAAGAAATAGGTACCAAATCATCTTGGGTATTTAGGAGGGTTTCATTTTTATTATGTAGCAGAAAATAAAGCACTGCAAAGTGATAGTGCTATGTTTGTGAGAGAGAGCTTTAGATGGATTACAAGACATAACTCATTTCATCTGGTGGAATACTGAAGTAAGTGAAGCTTCTTTGTATACTGGATCAGGCGGATGAGAGTTATGGCTGATCTGTAAGATTATTATTATTTTTCTTAACTTTGACTTTTTCCTTGACTTTTTGAAACTAAATATTTTTTTAATGTTTTCCTTACTCTGATACGTTCTGTTAATACTTTTCTTACTACACTGAATTTATGCATTTCATCAGTGCCAGAAATTAATGTCTTATTTTTTTGCTCAGCATTTTTTTCTGTGTTTAATGGAAATATGTCCATTCTAGCTCTACAAACTGAAATACATATACAAGCATAACACTATGGTTAAGGAACTCCTAAATACAGAAGAATAATTACCAAAATATTAGCTTTTATTACATTATCAAACCAGGAAAGTCATCGTCTTAGATGCTGTCAATTTTTAATGATGCTTAGGAGAATTAGTTATTTGTTCGTAAGTTCTTTTAACTCAACCTGATGAATTTTTTTTTCTTAATAACAGTTTTGAAATTTGATGAAAATTGGGTAGGCTGATGTCCATTTTAATTCAGTGGATGAAGCCATTCACTCTCTTGTCTTTGCTCATTCCTGCCAAATGATTGAAATAAAACAATATTTGCTTTTTTTTGCTGTGATTGAACAGGTGCCTGCCTTTAAACTTCAGAGCAGAAGATTTAGCTAGTGGAATCCTGCGAGAACGTGTGAAAGTTGGTGCGAGCTTGGCTGATGTTGACCCTATGATTGTTGATAAATCTGTAAGTTCAATTAAAAGGTTTTTTTTCCTTCCACCAGTTCTGCATAAGTAGAATTCACCACAGCCTCTTATTGAAAGTGAAGTGAATTAATTATAAACTTGCTTATCTTTTTTGTTTCAAGTCTTGTCTATTGCGCTAGGATTCACTTGCTCTTGGCTTCTAAGTTATCATCAGGCTGCATACGTAACATAAATGAGCTAAAATATGTTTCTCAATTACATTTCTTTGTTTGTAGCTGGTTTTTAATTACTCTAGTAGAGAAATGTGTGCTATCGTAAGCAGGGTGGAAAGAGGTGTAATGAGCTGATGGTGGAGCTGACCATGGTCCTGTGCGAACTTCACGCATGGTGTGTGTGGATCTTCACTGTTATCTCTGGCAAGCCTGACTGAAGGGAGTGTAGTCCAGGAACCCTCAGTTTGGCTCAAGATAAAACCTGTTCAGGTGCAATGATGTGTGTTGCTCATGGTGTGTATTGTGAAGAATTTGCTGTATTATTAGCAGAACCAAACTGATGTTTAGAAGTACTGAAGTATATTCATGGTATGATGTGCCTGAGCTTAAGATTGCTATGTATGTAGATATTCAACCATCCTTGGCATACTTAATTTGCAAACCAGATAAACCTCCCCTCAGTCACTGATAATTGACTTGGTCGACTTTTTAAACTTAATTGAGCTGCAATTTTAGTACAGTATTTTTTAATGAATGTGTTGTTGTTTGCAGTTTTTCTTTGAATATGTTTTATAATTAGAGACTCTTCTATGAAAAGCTCTTGCTTATACATGCTTTTTTTTTTTTTTTTTTTGTAAGGTTCGTTTTGATAGTATAGGGGGTTTGAGTCATCACATCCTTGCACTTAAGGAAATGGTAGTGTTTCCTCTTCTCTATCCAGAAATATTTGAAAAATTCAAAATTCAGCCACCAAGGTAGGTGTATTTGCTCTTTTTTTTTTTTTTAAAGTTTGATTAAACTTGAAGTGTGCTTCAGTTGAAAACACATAGGAGATTGCTTCTTTCCTTCAAGTGTTTACAGTTAAAATACACTTACGTGTCTGCTACTCCACTTGTCTGTCAGAATGTAATAAACAGGATGAAGAGTTAACAAGAATCTAATTTACTCTTTTTGTGGTAAAGTGAACTTTTTAGTGATTTGGTTGAAGAATTCAGATATTCTATTAAGGCAGCCTTAGTAGCTTGACTTTTTTTTTTTTTGTTAATTTCAATCCTGTTGTCAAATGATTGACTAAATTAAGGTAAGTGCTGGTTTTATTTTTTTTAATAGAAGTAATCACAGTAATGTTATGTTGTGATTTTAATGTCAATTAATAAGCCATTTTAGTGTGAGATTTAAATGGGTACACATAATTTAAGTTAGAGGAAAATTTTGAGATATTTGTGTTGTTTTGAAGGAGTAAATCTCTCCAAAGAAGTAACAGAAACTGTCTTGAAGCACTGCTGAAGAGTTAATATTTCAGGAGTTATTTAAGTAGAGTAAAACAATCCTTTTGAAGCTTATCTATGGAAGCATAAAACAAACATAGATTTTATGACATCACATTGAATACATTAAGTAGTAATAATAGTACTTAAGTCTTTCTTCTCCAGGCTCCCTGTCTTCATTATAAAATTTGACTTGGAGTTTTTCAGGAGACGTAAAATAAGTTTGTGACTGTGTTGATCCATTTATCTTCAGGGGCTGTTTATTCTATGGTCCTCCTGGAACAGGTAAAACCTTGGTAGCTAGAGCTCTAGCTAATGAATGCAGTCAAGGAGACAAAAAGGTGGCTTTCTTTATGAGGAAAGGAGCAGACTGTCTCAGTAAGTGGGTTGGTGAATCTGAACGTCAGCTTCGACTCCTTTTTGATCAGGTTAGAAAAAAATACATCTTGTGTATATTCTGTGCTTTTTTGTTGTTGCTATATCTGCACTGTGTTCTAGGCAACCCAAATTACTTGCAAATGAAATTAAATACTAAATAGCTTATATATTTAGATGAACTAATAAAGGAATGTACAAATGACAGCATTATTTTGCTTTGAGAACTGAGAGGAAGATGTCTCTAAACTTGTCCATTAATAAAATGGACAGAGCAGTTTGGGTAAAAATTGGAAAAAGGAAAAAAAAAAAATAAAAATGAAGAGACAGTGAGTGTGAAGTTGTCTGTCACGTTTAAGGTATGCTGCGTAGAGGAGGATGTGGGACTGCATCTGCTGTGTGTGCATTTTAGTACCCTCATTGGGCTTGGAAAATGATGGATGGAGTCTCTTATCAAGCAGTGAGACACAGTTGCACAAACAAGCTGTTTTCTGACAGATGCCTAAACAAATGGATTATGTGCAGATAAGATACTGTTCTCTGTAACTCAGTGTAAGGTGTCTCAGTTTATGAGCACTGTGCTGTCTTGAGTCTCTCAGACAGTAAAACTGATACACTGGTGCCATCTTGCTTGTTTAAAGGAGAATGCATCTGTTTCCTTTGAAACAGTATTGTTGAAAGTTGAGTTTTATTTTTAGACTGCCCCTTTTAACTAAGGTGTTGCAGTGTGTGTTATTTTAGCATGTTATTGCTTGGTAAGAAGAATAAACTATTTTTGATGTTGATGGAATACTTGTGAATTAATGGTGAATTGATTTTTCTTTTTTTCTTTTCTTGCACACCAGGCATACTTGATGAGACCCTCTATAATCTTCTTTGATGAAATAGATGGTTTGGCTCCAGTTCGTTCTAGTAGACAAGATCAGATTCACAGGTATTATTTTTTAGTGTGCTATCAAGGAATATACATTGTAGAGTAGAATATAATGATGTGGAGGAGATCTGCAAGTATAGAGTTCAATTCTTCCACACCAGACCATGTTATTTTGGTAAATTCTAAAGCTTAATTTTATTGAGTTTTCAAGAAGGATTTTTACTTTTGCGTAAGATCCATTACAGTAGAAAGGACAGATTGCTGAGGTTTTTTTGCTCCAGAAAATTACCTTTTGAGCTTTTCAGACAGACCACAATTTGCTGTCAGTCAACTTGTAGTGGTGATGACCTGTCAGTTGAAGCATCAAGTAAGGATTGGTTGCTGGTTTTGTACTATAAACAGGTTATCTGTTACCAACCTGATAGAATAATCAGCTGAAAACACATTCTGAGATTTTTTTCAATTGCAGCGTTCTATGAATGAAGTGAACTCCTCTGTCCTTTTGATGACTGAGTGATGTGGAAGTTTATCTAGATATTTACTTCCATATATTTTTTTTTTTTTTTAAAGCATATTTACTGCTAGATGTAATTTTTTTCTGGTTGCCCTCAATCTCAGCTTTGCTGTGCCCATTAAGGCAGCATGGTTGTGTTTTTCGTATTATAGTCATACCATGGCATACTGTATGCACGTCTCCCATGACTCAAATGAGGGGAAAAGGAAGGAGGTTTGGGGTCAGCAGGCTAGTTTATGGGCTTCATTTTGATGTGCCTTTCTTCTACTCAGTGCTACCCCATCACTTGCTCTAAATGGGAAGATGCATACACTGTTAATGGAAGAGATCCCTTTGAGTCACAGCAAATGACTAACTGAGCTCACATTCCCTAAAACGTTCTGTAAGGAAGGAAGTTTGAATTTGTTGTAGTGCCTACTGGAGTTGTAATGCTAAGAGTAATACAGGTGATATCAAAAGAGTTCTTGGTTTGAAACTTGACATAGTAGCACAGTTTTTCTTTGACTACGTACTTCTTGAAATTAAGAGTGAAAGAGCAAAAATTATTACACTATTCCCTATATTTTTATTTATTTTGAAAACTCTTCTAGTTCTATAGTGTCTACTCTTCTTGCCCTCATGGATGGACTGGATAATAGAGGAGAGATAGTTGTTATTGGTGCTACAAATAGACTGGATTCTATAGATCCTGCACTCAGGAGACCTGGTCGTTTTGACAGGGAATTTCTTTTCAACTTGCCCGATCAAAAGGTAAAACTTTGAAAGTAATTTTTTCTTGAACTTAATGTTCATAACTTATATATAACTTATATATAATGTAACATAACTTATGAATGTCTGACAGCCAACTCATAAAAAAAGCAAATTGCATTTGTTCTTGGAAGTATATTAAATTTTGTGAAGACTTGTTTAGTAAAAACACATTGATAGTGTATATGAAGTTGTACTGAATTCCAAATCTTCAGAATATAGTTACAACAAAAACAAAGATAAACTGTTTGCATTAAACTGGACAGCTTAGCTAAAACCTGTGTTTTTGTATGAATTTATATAAGGAATGTCAAATTTTGGGACTTTGGAAGTTACAGTAAGAGAAAACATATTTATATATACTACTGAAAGCACAAAAATTGTATACGTAAGCATAAAAGGTAATTTATTGATGACAGGAATATTTCAGCTCCTTGTTCTATATTTTTAAGAATTCAGCCTTAATATTGCATGAATTCATACTTACCTACATCCAAAACAAGTTTATTTTTAACTTGTTTGAATTCTTTGCAGTTCTGAAATGAAATACTTTTGCAATTCATGTGTATATACTGTGCTACTCAGCAAAAAATTAATTGGTGAGGCATTTGGCAGTGGAAGCTGTGAATCACATATACAGCACTTAAACATTCAATTATAAAGTTATGATAATTCTTACTAGAACATGAATTATGATCAATTCACATGTAATACTGGTATTGATAAAACAATTAAAATATGTAACTAGTATAATGGAAAGATTACTGCTTCATATAAAAGTGTAAAGGAGGGGAAAACCTTTGTTCTCAAGAGGTCTTTGCATGGTAAGTTCTATTTTATGCACTTCAGGGACATGTCAAGGGAAAAGAAGTTGATATTTATTTGAAGAAATAATATATTCAAATCTTCTGACAAGGGTTTGTCTTGCTAACTTTATTTTCATCTTTAAATCAGGCACGAAAGCACATTTTACAAATTCATACCAGGGATTGGAACCCCAAACTGTCAGATCCTTTCTTAGGAGAACTAGCTGAAAAATGTGTTGGTGAGTGTTACCATGTTAGTACTTCAACTATAGATGCTTTCTCCTCTGTGTGAAACTTGGAAAATTTATTATATGCATCAGGATATTTATTGTTTTTACCTTTTTGAACTTTTGTACTTTCAACAATGTTATTTTTTTGTGGTAAAACATGCTTCTGCCTTACTGAAATGCAAAATCAGTAGTTAGTAGTTGTTTGGAGGTAAAATAATGTCATTTTTCCTTTCTGCAACTTCCACTTGTCCTTTAATAGGATGCATATCTACAAAAAGAAACAAATAGAAGTGGGAATTGGAATCATCAGGTAGATCTCCCATTAAAATAGAGTCCTACAGATGGGGTAGGGAAATGTTTCTTTTTTTTTCTGTCTACATATGGACAAAAAAAAATCTGCACTTGTTTTTTCATTGCCCGGCATGTTCTCCTCTGACAGAAATCCCACAGACTGCTCAGCCTTTCTAAAGGTGATTTTTTAATTTACAGATTGCTAGCATAGAACAAACCCAGAGTGTAGATGTAGGTGGGGGTGGAGGGAAAAAACATCACACCGTGAGAACGTTAAATATACCTTTGGAGCGCCCAAAGACCTGCTGTACTGAATGGAGGATGGTTGTTCAAGATAAACCTGCTGCCTAAAAGCTAATCAGAAATAAAACCCAATATTTTTATAGTGAATTTAACAGAGGAAGTGACCCTAAAACACACACCACAAATCTCTTCTCAACAATTTGTCATGCAAAGACGCATCCTCTGTCAGTCATCTGCTCGGAGAAGCACTGAAGTTCTCAGAAAAAGGACGGTCTCAAATATCTGTGCATTGGAACCCATCATCAGAGAAATAAGAACTTTAAATTGAACATCAGTCCATTCAGTCAGCTGCAGTACATCCGAATTATCCTCTTCATCCACAGGGACATCTATCATCGAAGCAGCATCCCTCCGCTTTTGATGCACAAAGACCTCAACATCTTCTGGTGAGGAGAAAACATAACTATCCAGCAAACTCCAATTTAAGCTTTGCCGGGTATAAGACAGCATGTGCCAAACCCATTTCATGTAAATTCTGCTTGATTTGTGCAAAGACGTGATGCTGCTTAGTGGGAGAGAGGGGAGTAGTTGATGTAAAACTCAAGTGTTTCTTTGAAAATTCACCATATTTTTGCATTGAGAACACAGTCGTGTTTTTTAGAACCTCAGACCATAAGGAAAGCTGTTGGTAGGTTTGATCAGAAGGCATTCTTCATTCTCAGTAAAACTTGTTCTGTGGAAAAGTCAGCCATTCAGAGGAAATGCCCTTTTCTGTTTTCCTTGGCTTTCCTTTTGTCCATCTACTGTGCACTTGATTTTCTCAATTCTGTGTCTTGGAATATAAATGTTTTCACACATCCGAGATTAAAACCTTTTAACTTTACAAAGATCTTTTAAAACAGTTGAAGAGTGGTTTATCTTCTTCACCTTCAGTTTGCATCATCATTTCTGTAAGTGAAATCTGCAGCAACTAATATAAAGCAGGTATTCCAGATTCTTTGTGTACCTGCAAATTGAACTTACTGGCCCACTTCTCACACTGATAAGAATTATGTGCTGGTCTGTTTCCTCTTGTATACAGCCTTTTTTTTTATTTTTATTTTTTTCCATTTTAAAACCTCCCCTTGCGTCCCTGAAAGCTTCCTACACCCAACAGGCTTTTTGCACAGCATGGTTTATACCTCTCTCCAATTCAGCAAGCTTGGCAACACTTACCTTACAAGCATGTGGATCCTAATGAAGAAACCTGCTGAAATACTACCAAAGCAAATGACTTTGGGGAAGCAGATGTATGTGTGACTCACAACTTTGTAAGATCAGGGGTACAATTTTAACAATATTACAAGGGGAAGATTCCAGGCCTTAAACACAAAAAAGTTATTTCTGAAGGCTGATTTTTGTCTCAGGTGTTTTGGATGCCTTTTAGGAGATTTTTGTGTATGTGAGAATTAAAGAACACACTTCACTGAATTGCCAAGCAAATGCAATGAGTGTGTGACAAGTAAAGCTGCTTGGGTAGAACATGGGATTACACTGAAGACCACACAGTGATGTCTTTCTACTACTGTCAAAAAGCACAAGTACCTAGTATCATTTTTGCCATGTAAGTGTGTACTGGAGATGGGTCACAGCAATCCCAAACTTCATAATCGTTGCCTTTCTCTTGTGCTTGCTTTATTGTTCTGAACTATAACTTTCTGTAGGTAGAGAGGCTGTTAACTCAGTCTTGTAGGAAACAGAAAATACTGGAAACACGAAGTGTGAATGCCTTCATCTTGCAGATGAATTTTTTTACAGCGTAAAGAGTGTTATTGAAATGATGTTAAGTAGAATTGTGAAGAGGTAAGCCATCGTACTCGAGGTGCTTGTTAAGCTTATTTTTGAAGGAACATTTTGTGACATAATAGTATTTTAGTAGATCTTCCTGTCCTAATGTAATGTGGGAGAAGGAAGTTATGGCATTAATTTAAGCACTTCATACTTTTCACCAATGTATGAAAAACACCAATATGTAGAAAACATTGCTTTTCACTTCTCTCACAGTACTGAACTTTGACCAACTTACTTTTTTCCATTGGAGGAGTTGTGCACTGCAGAAACTGGAAGAATCATAGAATTGTTTGAGTTGGAAGGGATCTTTAATGGCCATCTAGTCAAACTCCCTGGCACTGAACAGGGACACCTACACTAGATGATCTGCTCAGCCCTGTCCAGCCTTACCTTGGGTGTCTCCAGGAACGGGTCTTACACCTCTGGCCAACCAGTTTCAGTGCCTCACTACCCTTTATTGTAAAAAGCAGTGGTTGAGATCATTAAGTTAGATGTTCAGCCTAGCTCAGGAGCAGTTTGTTGTAGATTTTGGGGGTGGATATTGGGCAGAGGATACTTTAAAGAGGACGTAGTACCTGCAGTGTCTGCAGGGTAGGAACAGTAAAATATGACTTGTAAGATTTCAGTGACCAAAATGCATTCTTTGGAAATCTGTTTTCTGAAAGCTGGACTTCAGAACTATTTAGCACAGTGTGGTGGTGATAGGCAAAGCAAAATGGGCTTCCTTGAGAAGATTACTTAGTTTTTTGATGTGTTGTGCCAGTGTATTTTGCCTGCCAAAGTGAACGTCCTTTGTGAATTCTTCAAAATGGAAATAAATGCACTGAGCCTTGATTCAATAGTGTCAATTTAGACAGAAATAAATTCAGATTATTTCATCTAGGTATGACTCATTTTATTTATTATTCCCTTTGACAGCATTTGACTCTTGTTTTTTTTCACATCTTAATCAGTGTGCGTTTATTTCTTAGAAACAAAAAAAACCCTTCAGTGATTCACAAGATATGGGTTTTTTTTGCAATTTCCCTGTCGCTGAAATGGATGTACAGTGTACACAAGAGAATCCCGTAGAAAGCGACACCAATTACTACTCTTCAAATGTAATTGCTCCTGAGAAATGAAAAATAGAAATGGAGACTAATTGTGTATCTGATCACCTGAGAATGCAATTTTAGAAGTAGGCTACAGGCTATTATTTCCTAATTTTGCAGTTCCTTGGAGATGTGCAAGCGGTGATTAAAAAGACTGTTAGAAAGTGGTATTACAGCATTTATTAATAGAAAAATTGAAAAGGACCGAGCTCCTGAGCTGCTGGATCTTCTGTGACGAAGATGCTGAACTAGTTTTTAAGGCCACTGGAGTTCTCTGTATCTCTTGTACGTCTTTGATTTAAGCTTCGCTTTAGTGACCCTGGACATGTTAAATTGAGAAAGCTTGTTGCATGAAAAGCGGACTAATTTAAATGGGAAAATGCTACCTCATGTTGAAAGAAGAAAGCAAAACTTGGATTAAAAAAACCTGTTTCTGTTGTTTTAGATGGACTTGTAGGTACTGTTTAATAAGTACATGTGTTTGACAAAGTGTGCCTGCATGGTTTTGATTTCGTGTTGGGGGTTGGTATAAATAAATAAACAGCCTTAACACTGAAAATAATTACCTGCTAATATATATATATATATATATATGTAATATACATGGACATACTTGAGCATATTTCAAACGTAACATGCATTTATTTCATTCTAAGGTAAGTTGTGAATGTGAATTGCTGGCTGCTGCTTAGGAAACAATCTGTGTGTTCATGAAGTTTACGTAGTTAGTGACTAACTTTTCTGTGAACACAGCTTAGAAGCTGTATAACAAGTCTGATATTCATGGCATTCTTTCTTTGGTAGTTGGTTTTTTTGTTTCTTGAATTGTTTGAGAATTTGAGATGGAGTTTTAAGTCTCAGCCAATGCAAGTTGTCTTTGTAGCTGGAAAGTTGGTATCTTGTATTATAAAACCTCAAATAATGTAACTGAAAGATAAGGGTGGAAAATTGTCTTTCCCCCTCATCTTATTGCTTCTTTATTCTTATTTCTTTATTTTTTCAACACTGTGTATAGAATCAACTTTGTTCCTTTTGCTGTATTGATTTCTGTGAAAGTGTGCATTTCCATAGCACTGCAAGAACATTAGAGGATGGAGAGAAGCAAGGTAGCAGGCTTCAGCTTTGGGTCTTGGTACTGCCAAAAAAAATACAAAAATAGAGTAGAGAAAGTATGAATGGGAGGAGGTGGGGGAGGGGGAAGCAAAACAGCCACAAGAATTTACATGGAGAGTTGATGAATGAGTTTCTGTAAACATTTGGTTGCAAAACCGTGAACTTAGGTGACAGTGCCTCTGTACTATCTGTACTTTCCTACCTTTTCCTCTGGAGACTGTGCCCCATTGGAATAATATTTAAAGTTCTTTGAAAGATGGAGCTGTAGTGCTACAAAATACGGCAGCGTATTGATGTCTCTTGCTGAGAGATATGAGAAAATTTGTAATTTAACTCTGTAATTTGCAATGTCGCTCTGGGGAGAAACCCCAAGCCACTGGAACTGCAGAAAACACAGAGGTATTAAATCCCTGGGTATTTCATAATTATCAGATCTGTGGTTCTTAATAATGACGATTAAGCAATTATGCAAAGCCACCTGTAGGTACTTAGAAGCTGGGCTGAATGAAAATTGTAATGCTTTTTAGTAGCTTTTCTACTCTTTTATTGGTAACGTTACAAAACTATAAGAAGTCTGAAACATTTTCCTCAGTGGTAAAAGTTCACATTTTTCTAAGAATCTACAGTATGCCTTTTTAACCAGAGATTCCTTCTCTTCTTTATTCATTAACTTTTTTCTTCAAGTAATAGTTAGATGCTCATCCCATATAACAAAATGACTTTGCTTTTAATAAATATATTCATGTAGAGATGTTAAGCAAACTAGAACAGCAACAAACAGAAAAACAGAAACCCCAGGGCTAGCCAGTTACAAATGGCAAGTATACTCGAGACAGCGTTGAGAAAAAAAGAGTGATGACAGACTGAAAACCATGAGCTGAAGATAAATGCTGTGTAGTGAAAACAGAGGTCATTTGAACCATAGCGTAGGATTCATTTCTGTCTGTATTTCAGTGTAACTGTACATAATTTGATATACAACACTGTCGCTGGATTATAGCCTGGCATGTTTTGGCAGATGCTTTGTGGACCTCAACAACGAAGTATTACCAGTTGTTTTTAGCTGTAGGCATGCTTGAAATGTATGCAGCACAACAGTGCTATTTCATGCAAGGTTGTTTTGTTTTTCTCTCTTTTTTTTGTACACCAGGGTACTGCGGGGCCGACATAAAAGCACTTTGCACTGAGGCTGCCTTGATTGCCCTGAGACGACGCTACCCCCAGATTTATGTGAGCAGTCAGAAGCTACAGCTTGATGTTTCGTCAGTAGTTCTCAGTGCGCAGGATTTTTATCATGCAATGCAGAACATTGTGCCTGCTTCCCAACGTGCTGTGACGTCTTCAGGACACGCATTATCACCTGTGATCAGACCACTGTTGGAACGTACCTTTGCTGACCTTCTTGAGGTTTTACACAAAGTGTTTCCTCACGCTGAGTTCAGCCAGAGTGACAAAAGTGAAGGTATGTGGGTTGTTAGTTCTCTTTCGTCGACTGCTAGCCTACAGCCTGATGTGTGTTTGGTTTAGTGTTATGTTCAAATGTGAATGCAGTTTGCTTGTCTATTGCCTTATTTTTTTTTGCAGATTTTAAGTTGCTGTGCCATTTAATGAACCTATGTGTAATGAACCTATGTAGACCAATATGCTGTAGGTTTCAGTGTCATCTGGAAAAACAAACAAACAAACAAAAACCCCACATCCCTAAGTGAATTACAGCTTAAATGAGAAATAATAGAACATAATCAGATGGTACAAAAACAAACAACAACTAAATAGAGTCTTTCTCAGCATGTTAGGACCTGGAATTGGTGCTCCTGCCTGAGTGTCAATTACGTGTCCTCAATTTTGCTAGTTAGTGGGATAGAAGCAGGCTGCAAAGGAGTTTTATGGGGAGCTCAGAGCTCAGAAGTGGAGAGCGTAGGTTAGACAAGATCCCTGGGCCTGTGGGGTGATCATCTCTTGGATAATGAGGAAGTCCTGATGATTTCCTCACCTTGAAGTGCCTGATACACTTCTGATCCTGGAGCTGTTTCTGCCAGGTTAGCAAGTTGAGAACTATTAGCTATTGTGTCGTTAGCTTTTTTTGCCAAATTAGTGAAGTCCAATGTGCTGAGGGGTCAGAAGTGTGTCAGAACTCTCCTGCAGTGGGAACAGTTACGAGTGTGTTAGTGAAGCAGAGAGTAAAAAGGAACGTGACTGACTGTTTTGACTGGCAGTGATTCAGTAGGTTCTGTGTTTTGTGTTCTTGGAGACATACTTTAATAGTTAGCCTTGTCATTTCTTAAGTTAAATGTTGAAATTACTTTGGTTTTTGATGTTTTTGTATTCTGACATAATATTTTTTACTGTTCATACTTGGAAACGCCTTCATCCCCCTGGCTTTATAAACGCTACTTGTGGTTGTGTGTAATTAACTTGAAAATAGTCTAGTCATGAAGTAGATCTGTGACAGCTATGACTTCTTCTTTCCTGTTCCAGAACACGCTTTCAGACTGCACCCCAGGCAGCTTAGGCTGATCACTGTGCTGGCTGCAGCAGATCCATAGACCAGTTTTTCCTCTGTCCCTTGAATTTCATGTACATGTCAGGCCCTTTGTTGAATCGTTTCATTGGCAAACTCGTTTAAAAACATATTTTTGTTGGGTTACTTTTCTGCTGACTGAAACAGCTGAAGATTTCGAGAGTGGAGATGGCCTGAGGTGGGGTCAGGGAGTGGTGGAGCTTTGGGAAGGGATGCTTGCAGTTGTGGTTAGATCGCATTCTGTTCTCTTGAAACCAGAATGGTGTAAGAAATTTGTCTCCCTTCATACTTCTTACCTTTTGGTAATGCTCAGTTTGGATACTATTGTTATTAAAGAATTGAATTAAAAACCCCTCTCTGTTATAAAGTTCTATTTGAGAATATTTAGTGCATGAGCGTAGGAGATACCCTGTGGGTATACATCTGGTATAGCAAAAATCTTGCATCTTGAGTTCTGCAGTGCTCCAAGAGTTAGGAGGTCTACATTCAATTGGTTTGAAGTGAAGGAAAGGACATGGTTTAGTGAGAACTATTGGCAATAGGTGGATGGTTGGACTGGATGATCTTGTAGGTCTTTTCCAACCTTGGTGTTTCTGTGATTCTGTGAAGGGCTTCTGTCTTTGCCCTGAGTTAGATATCCAGCAGCTTTTCCTAATACTTGTGGATATGGGCTTGTTCTTGGCACCGGACTGAGGTTTGTAGGCCTTCATTATCTTCACTTTATGAGGCATGCTTGTCAAAAATGTGACTGCATTGCTGTTTGCCAAGAGACTTGTCATGTCCTCATCAAATACTTTTGTTGTCTCAACACTTTTTCCTGGGACTGTATGTGTGGATGGATAGCTGTTAGGTGGCATCTCTGTCCTACACTGTCAGTGCTGCCTTTATTGGTTCAGGGTAGTAGTACATGTGCTGTGGTGGGTCAGATATTTGAGACTAACTCTTGTATCTCTTTATTTCATGTCTTTTTTTCACAGCACTCCATTTTTCTAAATGGCTGTGGCCAACTTGGAGTGTTGCTGAGGTCTCTGGTGATTACCCTGCAACAGCAGTGTGCAGCTGTGGCTGAGCTGCTCTCAAGCTTGCCCATCCATTAGAGTATTTTGTTGACCTCTGCACTTCTCTTGCTGACCATTTTCACCCTGTTCATGCAAACTGATTTTGCTGAGGGAGTGAAGATGGTTTTTTGAAGTTAACATGAAATAAATTCCTTTCCAAGGAGCAAATAAAGATCTCATAGCAGTTGATTTTCCATTATCTTATGGCAGCAGTTTATTCTTTATCCCGCTGTAGCCATGGTAGTTAATTTAGCAGAACCTAATTTTCAAAAGGGTCTTCTGTCAACTGGTTGTTTTGGTTTACTGCCATGCTTACATTTTTTGCAGTTTTTTTGTCCCCAGAGGCTGTCTTTAGAATGTAATCAGTCTTTTAGCTTTTCGTTTCTGAAGGACTATGTAGAAATTACCTCATCATGTTGATGCATTAGCAAAGGAATTAAAATAGATTGAAGTACAGAATATGAACTCAGGATTAGCTGCGTTGATTGTAGTAGTTTCATTTGTGGTGTTTGTTTTTTTGTTTGTTTGTTTTGACAGATTGTCAGAGTGTGGGAAACAATTCCTTGTAAACACACATTGTCCACGTGGTGATGCAGAGAGTAATTTTGGAAGAAGTGTACCTGTAAAAGTTGGGTCACCAGTATGAAAGAAATAAATACAAAATTCTTTATAGTCTGAGGAATTAAAAATTTCATAACTTCATCCTTGAAAAATCTCTGACAGTAAAATGAAATTAAATGAAGCAATTCATAGCGAGTTAAACATTTTTTTGTTTGTGAGATTGTTCTGCTTGCTGGCTTGAAGAGTAAATTTGTAATTATTAGACTTCTGCAATATTTAATTTGCTTTTTTTTTTTGAAAGTATTTATTATTCTGTTCTTACATTTTGACAGTTATATTTTTTTTCCTACTCTTGAAAATAAGTGTTGTAATTGAAGAAAATTGTAATGCCTTTTCTTGTTTGTTGTGAGTATAAGTGATGAGACTAATTAATGTATTTCTTGGGAACAGATGTACCAAGTCTAATATTAGATGATAGTGAAGATGAGAATGCTTCATCAATTTTTGAGACGAGCTGTCCCTCAGGATCACCAAAGAAACAGTCATCAGCTGCTATACATAAACCCTACCTTCATTTTACAATGTGAGTGTTTCTCTAACTGTCTCTAACCAGATGGATGAAATTATGGCACTCTTAGATCAGTAGAGGTAATAAAGGTGTGGTGGCAATGCTGTTCTGTGTGAGGAAAAATAAAACTGCATGGATTAGAGGTTTTAGATTGAAATGCTCTTAGGTAAGGCCACGTCCTGAACGCAGCAATCAGAAATGGCTTGGAACAGATGGATTTGTCTTAGAAGTAAGGATCTTAACAGCAATTCTCAATTGTAACAAGCAGTATTGATTTGAAATACCACACATTGGGAAAAGAGATATTGAGGAATATTTCCCTAGGCTGGAGCTGTGGGGTGACCTGAGAGCAGCCTTTCAGCTCCTAAAGAGGAGCTGCAGAAAAGAAAGGGACAGGCTTTTTAGCAGGGTCTGTGGTGACAGAACAAGGGGAAATGGTTTCAAGCTCAGGAAGGGTGGGTTTAGGTTAAATGTGAGGAAAAAAATCGCTTACAGTAAAGGAGTGAGGCACTGCAACAGATTGCCCAGTGATGTGGTTGATGTCCCATCCCTGGAGACTTTCAAGTCCAGGCTGTGTCAGGCTCTGGGCAGCCTCATCTAGCTGTGGTGTCCCTGTTCATTGCAGGGCAGTTGGACTAAATGGCCCTCAGAGGTCCCTTCCAACTCTAAGGATTCTATGATTCTGTGATTTTTGAGGGTTAAATTTAGAGGCTTACTTTGTAGGAAACATTACGATGGCAGTAGAGATTTGCTTTGTCTTGGTCTGAAGCACTGTTGAGCTTCAGTGTATGCAATTGTTTGGTTAAATGATAAAAATGTTTTGAGGTTTTTTAACATAGCTTTTCCTTGTTTTTCTTGGAAAGTTTTTGGGAAGTGGGAATTTGGAAAGATTGTGTGAAATTTGGCTGAATCCTTTCTGTTTAATTTGAATTGCCTACAGTAATTAACTGTAAAGTAACATTTCTTTGGTTTTTAGTTAGAACTGTTTTAGCCTATGTTCCGTAGCTTCTCTGGGGAGTTTGCTTAATAAAGAAAATGAGGTTAGGAGAACTGCTCAGTAGTAGTACTGTTCAGTAGAGCCATCTTGTGGAAAAATGCTAAATTTTTTTCTGCTAAAAAGTGATGCCAGGGCAGCATTTATGGAAATCTACACTTAAAAATAAGGATATAATTTAAATTCTCTGAGAAGCGTGTGGTCAAGTTTTTAATACTAAATTTAATTTAATACCAAATTTCTTACATGAACTCCTTCTTAGGATGTCTTCTATGTAGCAAGAATGAAAATAAGGTTTATCTTTGCAGTCTTTCTGCTCTCATAAAATAAACTTAGTAAAAGAGTAGAACATGAACGGTGATTTTTGTTAAATCCTATTTCTTAAATTACAACACATTACATTCTTCTTGGAAATCTTAGGTATTATTTTTGGAGGATGAGTTTATTAACTTGAAATTTCTGAGGTTACTGTAGAGATACATGAGCTTGATGTGACCAAATAGATATCTTGCCTGAAAGTCCATTTATGTGAAAGTATGTTCATATGATGTATAAGTTTAACATGTGCACATTTTTGCAGATGAATTTGAATAAAATTGTTGTGAAATTCAAGCAGTAGACGAGGCTTGAGTTACTTAGAGCTGAATTAGTGCTGAAGTATTTTACAGTTTGTTGAATCTTTTTAGGCAGTTGTAGGAAGTTGTCCATTACTTGGTCTTTTGGATTCTTAGCAAACGAAAGACCCAAAACAAATACCCAGGCTTGAAGCAGTGATTGAGGTTATATGTATTTCCATTGGTAACAGTGGCATGTTCATTCTAACTGTTGTCTGTTACAGGTCAGCTTATCACCAGCCAACCTCTTACCGACCGAGATTACTGCTAACTGGAGAGAGGGGTTCGGGTCAGACTTCACACCTTGCTCCAGCACTATTGCACACTCTTGAAAAGTTCTCTGTACACAGGCTAGATCTGCCAGCACTTTATTCAGTCAGTGCCAAAACACCTGAAGAATCGTGTGCACAGGTGACATTTAAAATTCTCTTCTAATAGGTAACTGATGTAATTCTGGAACGGGTCTGTAGCATCTAAATAATGGCAGCTGAGTGGTGTGTTAGGTAAAAGCCAGGTTTTCATAGGCATGTTTTAAATATAGATCTCTCTAGATGGATATTCAGATCTCTGTTGACTAGTAAGAGTAATCATGTTTTTAACATGACTGCTCAGGCGCAAACCTTATCTCAAGTAAATTGAATCTGGGTTTTTGGTTCCGGATTTTCATTTTTGTTAGTTTATGTGTAAATTGTTGTGTTGTGGACTTATGCTCAATTACTTAAGTGTGTGGTGAATTTTATGGTGTGTAAGGATAGCAAGCCAGTTTAATTTTCATATTGATAGTTCAATCTTGACAAGTTTTTAAAACATACATGACAAGAAGTATTTTTGTAGGGCCTACCACAAGGATGTAAAATAACTGAATGATACAGCTAACAATTGCAAACAGTTGCTTAGAAAGCTTTAATTATTAGATAATGTTAATTTACTGGAGGATTTGTATACCAAGTATTACCAACGCAACTCATTTCCTAGTCTGCAAGAGTTCTGCTTCTCATGGGGGATAACAACGATTTTAGTTGAACATCACTGTTACTTTTAATTAGATCTTTCGTGAAGCTCGAAGAACAGTACCAAGTATTGTTTACATGCCTCAGATTGGTGATTGGTGGGAAGCTGTCAGTGAAACTGTGAGAGCTACTTTTCTAACCTTGCTGCAAGATATACCATCTTTCTCCCCTATATTTCTGCTGTCTACCTCTGAGTCCATGTACAGTGAATTGCCTGAAGAGGTAAGTTGATTGTGGGAGGGCAGGGTTATTATGGATGCATGTGCTATTCAACATGTTCTGATCACATGAAAACATTGTTTTGTGCTGTTTTTCAAACTTTACAGAAAATTACCAATTTTATTATAATGAGGGAGGTACTTCCACATTACTGACAATCAGAATCTCCACACTATTTTGCTGAGGCGGCCAAGTTCTTGAACTATACTTGCTGTTTAGAAATGACATAGTTCCTTTAAAGTGTTGATGGATTCAACCCATTGTGGGCTTGTTCTCTGGTCTGCTGTTGAAGGCAATGATGGAATTCCAGTAGCATGTATGGAGTGGAGTTGATTTTCTTCATAGTGGCTGGTATAATGTTGTGTTTTGCATTTAGGAGGGGAAGAGTGTTGAAAACTCTCCAACTTTTCAGCTATCAAGCAGGATAAGGGTGCAAAAGGAGCTGGGAGAGAGCAGGACCTCTGTAGCTGACCCAAACTGGACAAAGGGATGTTGTTCTATGCGCACTGCTGGCACATGTCCAGCTTTTCATCCTCTGGGACCCCCAAGTCTTTCTCCACAGGGCCTTCTTCCTCCTGTTTGTAGACATACCTGGGATTGCCCCAATGCAGGCGCGACACCTTGCACTTGGCCTTGTTGAACCTCATTAGGTTCATGTGGGCCCGCTTCTTAAACCTGTCCAGGTCCCTCTGGATGGCATCCCTTCCTTCAGTGTACACAGATTTGGGTAGAGTTTCCTATCTTCTCTAATGTGGTTAATTGTGGAAAAGTTTGTGACGAGCATTTTTGTATGGTTGCTAATTATGTCACTTTGAGTGGAGGCTCAGTTTTTACACAGCATTATTTTCTTTTATAGGTGAAATGTATTTTCAGAATCCAATATGAAGAGGTTTTTTATATTCAGAAACCAAGTGAAGAAGACAGATTACGATTTTTCAGAGGATTAATTCTTGATGAGGCTGCAATGCCCCCACCAAGAAGGAAACAGGCTGGTAAACTAAATTACAGTAAAGCCAATAATAATGTGATCTCAGTGTTTTGTTTTCTGATTCCTTTTCTGATGCTGATTTCTTTTCAGAAGGCACGAGTAACTGACAGCTAGTGTAGGTAATAGGTGGCAATGTTTCTGTACCCAGAAAGTTTATTTGGAGGAGGATTGGAGGAATTGCAGTTACTGGTTTTAGAAAATGGGGGGGCTGTGGGACTAAGAGTTCATTGATGGTTGGTTGGTGAGACCCATTAAATACGTAGTGAATTTGGAGGGGCATCATCATAAAATATGCTGTCGTTAATACTTCTGTTGTCTGACTTCTTGTTTTTTTTCCCTAGCTCTTCGTGCTATGGAAGTTCTTCCTCTTGCACTGCCGTCTCCTGCCCGTGAGCTGTCGGAAGCAGAAAAACAACGAATGGAGGACCAGGAAGAGAACACGTTGAGAGAGCTGCGGTTGTTTCTCAGGGATGTAACCAAGAGGCTGGCGACAGACAAACGCTTTAACATCTTCAGCAAACCGGTGGATATTGAAGAGGTCTTGTTTCAGTGATGTGCAAACAATGAAGTTGAAGTTACTAGAAAAAGAGTGTCAATTGAAAAAGGAAATGGAGAAGTGAATAATTAAAATGAATGTTTTAGCTGTAATCTTTCCTATCTAGGCTGTTAGTTTTAGCTGGCGAGACGGTCACAGCCACATCAATTGAGATGCAAGGAGTTTGAGAATGTTCTTTGTACCAGTAACCTGTAGGAAGCTGTGCTTTCCTGTCAGTTTTCCAACTAAAAGTAGCATTTAAAAATGCCACTCCCATCCCTGCCAGTGCTTCTGAAATATTTGGAAGCATAAATACTATTCTTTAATAAAAGCTTTTAGAGCATAATAGTCCTGTAGGCATGATAGTATTGGAAAAGCAATCTGTGTGTTCTGTAATGTAGCAAGCATTAATAGTATTGTTGAATAATTTCAGCAGTAATGCTTACAGATGCCATTAATTGCAGATGGTAGCACTTTATAAGGCATTTGCTGGATGATTATATAGTGTGCACACCTAACTGATCAGATGGCTCCATCTGCAAATCTATTTTCAGATGCTTGTATAAGAAAAGGATGTGGTTTAGCCTGACTTAAAAATCAAATGCTGCAAGTCTGGTAGTTAGGATTGTTTGTCTTTTGTTTCTCATGAAACATGTCTATTAGCAGATACTACGAGTCAAATATGAGATCTTTGCAGTACAGCACTGTAGAAAATGAGTTTGCATTGTAAATTTCACACGCCTAAATAGCATATTTTTTTTGTCTCATGCAGTCCTCTTAGTGGGAGCTTTCCTCAGTCTTGTGTAGCTGTTTTTGTTGGAAAGCTGTTTGAAAGACTGAGGAGCTCTTCAATAAGGCATTTCAGTGTGAGCATGGTCAAAGGAGTATTTTTATTATGAAACTGCTCAGGAGCCATTGCAGCTTGATCTGGATATGTGTGTAACTGCTCAGTATTTTGGCAGCTACCATCATACGTGGGTGATTTCAAAAGAAAAAAAGCAATGCTGTTTCTGAGGCTGCCAGTGTTTCTAATTGATTGCAACCTTAATTGCAGTGAGACATGCACCTATAGGATTTTTCTGCCTTGAAGTAAATAACAAATTAATAGTTTTTTTTTTTTTTATGAACTTTGTTACAGCAGCTGTGCTGATACATTTGACTGTCAAGCTTGAGCCCCTTATGGTACCATTAATTATGTAAAATATTTTCAGTGTGCCCTAGTGGAAGCTGAATTTCCATTTGTGAGCTAAGCTTGTAGTAAGCTGTGAACTCTACAGAAGGGCAGTCTAAAGAGAACGTATTATGTCAAAGTTACTGTCTTCGATCAATAGAACCTGACTTTTCTAAAAAATAAAATTGATTGAAGGAACTAATTAATCACATATACTTACAAGTTGGTAATTTGACTGTTCAGTTTAATGAGAAGTTTACTGAAAACTTGAACAACACACAGTTTTCCTCATTTTTCTTTGGGTGAAGCTTCTTGTTTTCTCTTTCCAGCTCAAGATAGTGTTATAACAGTCACAAAAAAAACCTAGAAATAAAAATGCATTTAGATAAAATGCTGTGCCTCAAAAACACCATCAGCTCCATTTTAGAGAAACTGAAGAAACTGGAAGTCCTGTTAAAACTTTGACTTTTAACATAGTTTTTCTTTTATTACTGAAACTGTTTAGTTATTGTGTTGGGGCTAAGCATGTGGAATGAATAAGGCTACAAAGATATGAAACTAGCAGTGTTCAAATACAGTCCTTTGTCATTTTTGTGTGCTGTTTGATTGCAGGTTTCAGATTACCTTGAAGTTATCAAAGAGCCAATGGACCTGTCAACAGTAATAACCAAAATTGATAAACACAACTACTTAACAGCCAAGGATTTCCTAACAGATATTGATCTGATATGCAGCAATGCATTGGAGTACAATCCAGACAAAGATCCTGGAGGTAAGATCTGCTTCATTTTGGCTTTCCTAAATTGAAAGCGTGGTACTTAATCACATGTTCAGTTACTATTCTAGTCTCTAAATAAGCTGCATGCTTTATTATAATTAAGACAAACAAGCAAATTTCCTAAGTGTCTGTGCTTTTAGTGTTCTAAGGCACTTGGAGCACTGGGGGACGTTACAAGAGCTACAGCACTTAGAGTTGTTCTCTAATAAATTAGGTTTTGTAGCTCCTTTTAAAATTCAATAGCTCATTTTCATTGAATTGACTTTGCATATGCAACAAAAGCCAGTGTGATTTGGAGAGCTGCGGAGAGAATACTACACACAATCTGGCAGTGGTCTGCTTTTATTTTCTCATTGGCTTAAAATGTGAAATGCACCTACAGAAATTAAGAAATGTCTGTCTGGGGATGGAAATAAAGTGAGATAGATCATCAGGCAAGGAAGTTGCTGCAGCTGGTTAGGAGAGATTTAGAAGGTTTGGTCTCTACAGTGTCACACTGTGCTTTCAATTAAGGCAGAATTTGTGGAATGAAGTGCATGGGAAACTGTTCATACTGAAAGGAAAGAGCATATTTTATACTCTTTGCAGGGGCCACCTTATTGTGAATATTGTTAAAAGAAAGCCTTTCATTTGGCAGCTTTCAGAATCATCAAGAAAACATTTAAAATGCAAAAGCAACGTCCTTTTAATGTAGTTTTATTTTATATTTGTGATACCAGAAGTCTGACTCTGTCTGTAGACCAATGCATTTAAGTGTTTTATGAAATAATTTTACCAGGTTATAGCCTGATTACGTGTATTTTTTAACTCAAATTTTTGATGTTATTCTTTCCCATTCTCCTGTACTTCTGAGCTGTAAGCTGAATGCTGAGAGCACTAATCCTCTTGGGTGGTTATTTTGAAAAGCATGTTGTAATTCTGAAATTGTTTTGCACGGTTTAGTTCCCGTAATGTCAGATCCTAGCTTTGCAAAGCCAGGGTCATGTGAGAAGAATTGCCTTGCATTTGTGTAGCTGTGAAGCCTCAAGTAGAGGGTTTTTCATGTTTCATGTGCCTTCTGAACGTAGTGCTAGTTCCTAGCTTTTGAAAAGAAACCTTTCTTTGATTTATGGATGCTTTTTGTATTACAGCTAAAAAAAAATAATACACTGGTAGAATTCAGCAAATGATTCAGTGTGTTCTTGGTAACACTGCTTAAGGACTTCTAATGTGTAATTACGAGATAATCAAAGCCTTGATGGGCATATGGGATTCTCTGAGTATCTCTGAATGTGCCTGCTCACATAGTGAGGGCTGGGAGTGACACCTCCTGCATGTGACCGACATGTTTTTGACTTAATGATGGGCTTTGGGAAAAATTGGCATTAATTCACACCTTTTGTTCTCCTTTTTTAGGCCTTTTGGATCTGTGAGCTTGGTTGCTCAGTTCTGGGAAATATAGTCTGAAGAGGTTCTTGAAGTTGTAGAGCAGGTCTCTCTACCTCCAAAGAACAGATTTGGAGGTCAGGTCTTCTAGGAATCGTGACATGAATCTCAAGTTTGGTGTGGCAGAAACTTGAAATAGCAAAGGCAGCTTGGGCAGAATGTAGAGTTGGAACTTTTCATTGAGCTTAACCAAAGAGAAGAGCTTTAGGAAACACGCCTAGGGAGCCAAAATAGGAGCATTTTAGTTTTTTCCTTATGTCAGGATTAAATGAGGAGAAATGGATCTGGCTGTTCCTAGGTTAAGTTTGTGATTGTAGCTTCTCAACTTTGAGAAGGCAGTTGAAAGATAGTTCTGTCTTCTGCATTGTCACAGATTGATTATATATTGTCCTTCTGGCATGTAAGATGTCATGAGTTTTTGTATGAATACACTGCTGGAACAGTACATCATTTCTATTCTGAGTAGGCATTATATGTGTTCAAATCCATTAACTGATTATAAAGCTATAAAAAAATCCATTAACTGATCATTAAGCTATAAACATTCATATTTTTAAAGCTGGGCTTATATCCTTCCTCTGTCTCATGCATGAATTTGCAAAAGTATCATACTGTACCTGGTTCTGTTCTGTCATTCAGTTTGGAAAGGCAATTGGAGTAAACAGTTCATATACTGAATACAAAGGCTCAAAACTGGATTCTTTTTGTTCTTTTAAAATTTATTTTTCTATACAGTTGCAGATAGATCTCAACAAGAGAATCTTTCTTTTTCCCCTCCATTATTTGACCATTTTTTCCATTCTTCAGGAACGGGAACAACCTTTGTGTATTAGACAGATTAGTATTTGCATCTGCAAAACGTCTGTGGGAAAGTCTTGCCTATCACAGGGTGTGAGAAAAGAAGTATTTCAGTCAAATGTTCCCTTCAAAAGATGCAAAATAGCATTTGCCATTTCAGTAAAATATTGGTGTAGACTTGGGAATCTGTGCCCAAGAGATTGTTTGATAGAATACGGTTGGTGGTATGGTCATCTGTGGTCGTGTGATTCAACTTGTGCTTACATTCATGGTGCTTTTTGGTAGGTTTATATAAAAACCTATTGTGTTAAATGCAAGTATGACATGTTAATGTGACTCTACAAACCTGGTTTTGGGGAAGGCTATTTCAACAGTAAGCTTCTAATCAATATCAAGAACCCAACTTAAACTCCATGTAGAGCTTTGATCACTATGGAGGCTTTTTTTCCCCCCTCCTTTTAGTAGGTTGTTTTGTATTTTATTTCCTGACTGACTTACACATCAACAAACTGCAGATGTTTATTTGTGATCACAAATCAAGATGCTCCACAAGTATATGTGTGTTAAAGAAAAGAAAAGGAATAAATCTGCTTTCCAGTCAATTAAAGCAGTAGTAGATTTCCTCAGAAAACATACTGAGGGCTTGATTGGGCTGGATGTTGGTATTATTTTTGACTCAGCTGCCCTCTCATCTGTAAAATATACTGTTTCTAGATTTATAAACCTTGTTTAATAAATGTTCATTGATACTCTTAATTGTTGTACTTAGTAATTATTAAAACAGATTAAATATGCTAATTATATAATACGTTGTAGAGATTAATGTTGGTGTTTGCTGTATAAGTACATCCATCAGCTGGAAAAAGCAATTCAGTGTGGATGAATTGACAAATTAAATATGTTTGTGCTAAAAGTAAATGGTGTTGTAGATTTCACTGAAAAGCAGCATTCTAGATGTCAGTTTTCTCCACATATGGCTTAACTTGCTAAGTCAAAATTACTTCTCAAATACAGCAACAGCAATGGAAGAATTTCTTTTGTGTATTTCAAAGAGACTTTGGCCAGTTTTTCTGGAGCAGGTCAAAATGAGAAATAACTATTCGTTATCAACAGGAATCTGGTGAAGCATGAGATGGAATTTTATAGCATTTGTTGAAGAAAAATTAAACAATTAAGAAAAAGAAAAAAAAAATAAAGTAAGGAATGTAGTCCTGATGTGCCGTACGAATTCAGAGGGTGTCCAGTACGATTTTGCTGACAATAGATGGATGTTACCCCCTTAGGGAGTGAATTTGTTCCTGGACAAGTCTCTTGTTACTTGGGGCACTCTTATTGCACTCCATGATTCTGTGTAGATCTGCCTGGGGGAACTGGCGACACCTGCTGGTTCTCGTGAGTTTTGAAGAGCTGCGAGTTGATTTATGTTCATCTTTTGCCTTTGTTTAGAAATGCCACTATTGAGTAAATTAACAGTTTGTACTTCTGAGAACTACTATATTTTTAGCATTGCTGGGTTGGAATTTTTGAGCACGCTGTTATTGATCCATGTACATTTTCATGTACTTCTGTTTTCCAGCTCCATCTATATCAGTGTTGTCATATACAGAACAAACTTACGTAGAAATGATAAGTCTTTTACTAATTGTGATTAAAATTAATAAGTGTTCTGTCTTGTTTTCTAGATAAAATAATAAGACATAGAGCTTGTACTTTGAAGGACACTGCTCATGCTATCATTGCTGCTGAACTGGATCCAGAATTTAATAAGATGTGTGAAGAAATCAAGGAAGCAAGAAGAAAAAGAGGTATGTTTAGCTTCATTTATCATAACAGAACATAAATAGGATAGAAGACAATTACAAATGCCCACATAAAAAATTAAATTTAAAATGGAAAATGGAGTGCATGTCAGTCTCGGGCAGTACCTGGTAAAGGATGGCTGAGCTTGAAACTTGTCTACTTTTCCCAGCTGTGTGAGTTTATCTGATAAAACACTGTCCTTTACAAAAGAGGAATGCAGTGCCTGTGGCTACAGAAAGCAGTGTTGAACGCAGTGAACAGGTAGATAGGCACTGGCACTGCTGTGCTAATTGAAGGTGTGGTGGCACCAGAGCTGTGTTCTAGAAATGCAATGCATTAACAATTAAGATTTGGGAGAATACCATTTAAAACACTGTATTTTCAGTTCAGCCTGGCATGTGTCCAAGTGTACTTTTGGTGATAATACATTGACTTTTTGGATTAGGAAATGTCTGTTAAATCCACCCTGAGGAGAGAAATGAGATTGACAGTCTAATAATCCGGAATCAGGAAATACAGCCCCCTCTGTTGGGGCACTGACTTCATTTTTGTTCATATTAGTGCAGGTGTGTTCAGCTTGTAGTTCATAGACCCCCAAGTCTATGGACAGCTCTAACGTTGACCACAGTAGGTAACTGAAAGCCCAGATGTGCTCTCAGAACGGCTTCATTTACAGGAGAAATTCTGTACCTCCATGATTTATTTTTTTCTGAAAATTGAGAAAGGTTGAAAACTTCTAAACTGTAATGTTAGGAGAAAAAAAAAAAAAAAAAGAAAAAGAAAAAGAAAAATCCAGCTTTCTTAATGCCTGCTTGTTTCAGTAATTCTGGCTTTGCCTTCCAAAGCGTTTACTGCTTCAACTCCTGCTTTGGAAAAAAAACAAAACCAACCAACCAAGAGCTAAGAAAAACTTGCATTATTAGATTTCTGAATTGGCTATGACCACTCTTGTTTTTGCAGGTTTCTGAAATACTTTTGTCAGTAGGTTGAAGACCCTTTATTAATAAATTTCCTTGAACTAAGCAAGTGTCTATAGGCTTTCTCTTCAGCTTTCAGTGGATGCTGTTCCACTTATTTTCCAATTCAGTCGTGTATTTTTGTTTAATCCTGTTTGAGTTTCCAATGTGCATCTGAAATTGTAATTCACTGTGGTAGTAAATTTGAACTAATACTTTTCTATACTTTTCTGTTAAAAGGATGTTCACAATTCTGGCCTTAGTATCACACTGAGAGCTATGCTCAGTTAATTATCCACTGTGAGTTCCTCGTGATTGCTGAAGGTTATTTCTTCTGAGGTTAAAGTTAGCTGTATATAAGGGTCTGGTGTTACAGAGAGCAACTAGAGTTTGTAGTTGCTGCTTGCAGATTTCTCAAGAGCTAATCCACTAGCAGCTCAATTTTCATTTAAACCTGAAGAGGTAAAAGTAGTATTGCAGTCACAGATTGAGCTGGAGTGGTGAATGTGACCATCAGAAATCAACTTTGTCCACCTGGAAAAAAAGAACAAGCCCCAAAGTTGGTTAGATCTTGGCCAATGTTTTCTCAGCTACATTAGAAAGACTTCAATTTGAGATTTGGAAGGACTCAAATGAGCTGATCTGGTGAGGCTTCTGTAGATTCTCTGGCAGTTTTGTGAAGTGTTTCTGAACACATAGGACTTCGGAAGGCAAGTGGCACGTCTTGTAGACTTTTTAATCTTTGCCCAGTTGAAAAGCCATTGATTTTTCTGAATGTTGCATTTATTAGCTCTTAATTGGTTTCCAGGAACTACTGGAGATGAAGACTAAGGCTAAAAAACTCTATATCCATTTTCTTCACAATTATCTTGGCAGGCTGGTTAGCAATCTTACACAGCTTTAAAATGCAGGATATTTTCTCCCTCCCTTTTTTTTTTTCCCCACAGTTCCAAACAAAATTATCTTTTCTACACTTCTGTCAGATCTGTTGATTTTATTTAGTACTGTGACTGGTGACAAATCTTACAGTACTACAGAGTGGCAGAATTAGTGTCTAGAAGTTTAAACTAGAATATCTTGTTCTTGTATTACAGAAATTTGTCTGTTGTTGGAAGCGTGTAAACCTAAGCTGGTAAATAAAAAATATATACAAGGTTATTTGGATTTGCAGCTTCTTGTTGAAACCAGCAGATAGCAAGGTAGAAACGATGAGTGCTTTGAGTAAATATATTTGATATGTAGTTTAAAATATTTGTAATGATTCCAGGATACTTGTGCTTAAAATGCTAACTGAAAGTTGCTTTGAGAATCTTTTTATTTTGGCTTCTGTCAGTCTTGGAGCTTCTTGCCTGCTCTCAGTCACTTTATTCTGGCTTCTCTTGGAGTCATGTTATGGCATTTAAGAACACTGTTACAGTGGATGAATAGCTAATTCTCATTCATAAATAGGAAACTTCATATATATATTTTTTTCTTGAAAGTGTTTGTAACCAAATATGAATTTTAAAAATTTCATTAAAAATCCTGTAAAATAGTAGGAACTGTGAGATAAGCTTCTATTCCACAGAAAGCACAGCAGTCTTCCTGTTAAAAGCAGAGTCACATTTTTCTCCATCTAAGAGCTCCCGGTGACTCTGCAGTGAATCCATTTTACATAACGTAGATCATGATGGCAGCGCAAGTTTCTGTTCGTATGCTGTCTTTGAGAAGGCATACCATGCAGTTATGAATTGCCACTTGTTTCACATCGTCTGTTTAAAATTAGGAAAAATTGAAACTGTCAATAAGAATTTGTTTTATGGAGGAAATGTGGATAAGAGCCGTGCGGTCTTTGGAGACCTGAGTGTGAGAGAGTCATATATTTCTAGGCCATCAGAGCTGACAGTGTTAAGAGCATGCAGCCAGTAAGTTATTCTGTTAGTAGAAAACAAATACTCTTGATTCTAATCTTTGTTTTGAACGTCCAACTAAATATTAATTCATGTGCTCTTATTGCATGGTATTGCAAGTTTCTTTTAAAATTCAAGCTTTTTGCAGCTTGGTGTATTTAAATAGGTATGGTTATCTTCTGTGTGCAGGCTTATCAGTAACAGCAGAACAAATAAATCCTCACGGTTCCACTGTACGCAAAACAGAAGCTAGAGTTGAAGAAACGTTTCGGAACAAACAGAAGCCCACGATGGCGGTGTGGCCCAACTCTGCAACTAAATGTGCATGTGAGTACCTTGGGTGATGATTGTGCAAAATTACAGGCACCTCTGATGGCAGACATTTCACTTGTCTGTGCTGCTGCTTACTGGGTTATTTCCAGAGGTAATACTGGGCATGGAAATTTAAGAGATGCTCTGCTTCTCACTGTGTGAAATTTCTGCCCAAGAAACTGTAAAGAAGAGGGATTTCTGTTTTTGTAGTGAAGAATAATTGTTCTTGTAATGTATTTTATATATTTAATTTTAAAGAGCTATTATTACTATTCAGTAACCTCATTGCTTTTAACTATTGACTGAGTCTTCATGGTGTGTATATATTGACATTTTATAGACATTTATATTGACATTGTATAGATACGTACCTGCATGCTGCCTTATACTCTCACATACACTGGTCACTTCCTATTTGCAGTACATACTGATTTTTTGTTATGCTGAAAGTTTAAATGTAGTTACAAATTCAGCTATTTTTCATTTATGGTACTTGGTTTTCAACCTGTTATTGAAGGATGTTAAGATACTCTTGATGCAGCCTACTGAATTAGTCCAATTAATTGGTCAAAGTCTCTAGAATTATGAAGAGTTGTGACTACTTAACTGTGGTGTAGGTAATTGGAGGCAGTGCTAATTACTTTCAAGAGGTGAGTTGATTAGAACAGGTAAATACACTACAGTAAATTTTGTTGTAAACATGAAAATACCAAGAAATGGTGTGTATGAGAGAGATGCTGATTGTTGTGCCTGGCTTCCCTGCTGGAGGTGTGGAATCAGGAAAATTGCTGCTTAATGGGCAGACTGGGTTGGGAAAGTCACATTTTCATTGGCTTTTGTTCTTCTCCCGGATTGTTTTTTTCTTTTTCTGGTGAGAGCATTTTCTTGGCATGGAGATAACTGTCCAGAGCTGAATTTTGTTTGTGTGAATGATAGCATTGATGTGAAATAGTTGAATTAATTACGTATGTATAGTTTTTTTTTTTTTTCCTAGAGCTGTAATTTCTTCTGCTAAAAGAATTAAAATCAATCACACAGAGTTATGGCTCAACTAAACTGTTATATAAGAAATTGATGGTGTGGATCCGAGTTGTTTGGCAAAAAGGAGAGAGAGGATTCTCAGTGTTCTTAGCTTCCTATGAAACCCACAGTGGAGACTGTCACTCCTACTGATCTTTCCTGGCTCTGTATTGTATACAGCGGACAGCAGTGGTTACAGACTTTTAAGCTGGACATCTCTCAGGAAGAGAGATAGCAGCCATTACTGGTCAGTACTGTATATAAAGAAACTCTTCTGTCTGTTCTGTTACTCTGTTGTGCGTTCAGTGGCACTTGTTTCAAGACTACAGCCATCAACTGAAGGAACTTGCTGGCTTTACTGTGTGTAAACAGAAAAAGAGCTAGTGTTAATGGACCTTTCCTGCTAGTATTTTGGTGCTTTAGATGGTTTAAAAAAACCCAGAACACTGGAGACTGTTGTTTAGGACTACCATCAAGTGAATATCTGCCTCTTTAGGATCAGACTGGGAAAGGTAGCTGATCCAGGAGTAGTGTCCTGCATCAAGTGGTCGAGAGGGAGAACCAGGAGCTGATGACCCAATCAGAAATGTGTAGAAGGGATTTGGGGTTATATGGACACACTTTGATTGATGTGGTAAGTTCTGCAGAGACTGAAAAACTGAGAGAGGCAGTGCAGAAAAGGAACTGGAGGAAGGAGCTTGGAGTAAAGCGAGAGCAGAACTGGGCAGATGGTAAGGGAGCTCAAATAGCAGAAAATTACATGGCAGATTGTGATTGTATAAATGGAATAAAGTAGTTTAAATGATTTTAGAATAGAGATGATTTAGAAGTGCAGAAGAATCTTTTCATGGTCAAGAACTAATATTTTTCAAAGACTAAACTACATTGCAGAAGCAGAGGAGCAAGGACAGTGATATATTTTAATTACATAGGAAGACTTTACTTGCCCATTAATAATACTGAAAATCTTATTTTTCCCCTCCTTTTTGAATTCAAATTCATTTTTTTCCTTAGTGTTTTTTTTTGTTTGTTTTTGTTTTTGTGGGGGTGGGGGGCTGGTCTAGCATGCTGTTTCTTTTACATTTTTATTCTTTATTTGTAATCACCAATTGTGATATTGTTTTCTCAATGAAATTATTGTTTAGGAGCTTTGTTCACAGTATTTTAGAAAATGGCTTCAAAAGAGTCAATTCAGGTAAACTGTTTGAGAAAGAAAATATTGTCAGGCATTTTCACTAGAAACACAGTGGTCTACAGATAGTGTAGCAGCCTTGCCAGGTTTAAATCTCTGTTTAATACACGGATAATACAGTAAAGAATCAGATCGTGTTGTTTTCCTAGGCTTTACATATTTTTTAATGAAATGTTATTTAGATTTGTAGTTACCTATTGTTTTGTGATGTATTTAATTTTGAGATTTTATTTCACTTTTTTTTCCTATGATCAGCCCATGTGGGCTATCAGGAATGTGGAACAAAACGTACAGTTAAATTTAATCTGCAACTTCATATCCCCTGTTGAGGTAACACCTACAGTAGATTCTGTATTACAATATAGATGAATTTCAGAAGTATTGCATTGCTAGAATTCATTTGGTAGAATTCTGCCAGAGTTGATTTAAAATATATCAGTACTGACTGCGTATCTGGGGAAAAATGCAAGTTCCCACACAGTGGGATGTAAGCCAAAAGCTTGGTGTAAGTAGTTGCAGGATCCAAGAATGACAGAATTGCTGTGCTTGGGAGGAACCTCTGGAGATCATCTGGCCCAACTCATCTGCTCAGAGCAGGTTGCTCAGCCTTGTATTCCATTCTGTTTTGAATATGTCAGAGAATGGAGGCTCCATGACATGCCTCTGAAGGTGGTGCTTGACCACCTTCACAGTACATTTTTTAACTACAAATGGAATTTCTTGTTTCTCAGTCAGTGCCCATTGCCTCTTAGGACTGGGCACAAATGAGGGGAGTCTGACTTTTCCGTTGTGTGTATGTATGGAAGAAGAAACTACCAGCAGTGTGGAGTTTTGTGTTCTAAATTAATCATTGCTAAGTGATTTAGATAGGCTTTAGCACTCAAAGCAATATTATCTCTTTAATTGTTTTGATGCTGTATAGTAAAACTTCGTCCTACTACTGCATCTTGCCAGTAGATGGAGTATGTTGCCATGTTATTTTATTCTCTTAACGTTTCATATAAATAAACTGCATGGGGAAGTTTAGTTTTCCATTCTTACCATTTTTTTTGCAGTATTTAACAATAACGCACCACAGTGACAGACTACAGATTTTGCTTCCTTTCTAGAGGAGTGTCTTGCATGCAGAATGATAAGTACAATAGCTGGCCAATGTGAAAATGGATCTCTGTGATGCAGTGATGTCAGTGATTGCTGTACGTTGGGCATTTGTGTGAATGTATGCAGTTATGTCTTATCAGAGGACATGGCAGACCAGATGCTTCAAGGTTTTCATTATTTTAACAGTACTGTCTCAGTTACCACTGAATTTGGGTAGTGCAGAATAACAGCCACCAGATGTTAATGTTAAATTCCTCACAGCAGCTGATGTCCTGTCAAAACCATGAATCCTTTACTTCCTTCTGGTTCCCATTCTCCTCCTGCTCACCTGCAAAGAGACTTGGATTGATTTTCACAATGCACCTAAGATGGAGGCAATCAATATGACTTGACAAGCGTGATTAAAAAAGCTTCTTTGGAATTTGAGAACGTCTTATTCATAAAATCATAGAATGGCCTGGGTTGAAAAGGACCCACACAGTGACCATGTAGCTTCAACCCCCTGCTGTGTGCAGGTCACCAACCAGCAGACCAGGCTGCCCAGAGCCACATCCAGCCTGGCCTTGAATGCCTGCAGGGATGGGGCATCCACAGCCTCCTTGGGCAACCTGTGCCAGTGCCTCACCACGCTCTGGGGGAAAAACTTCCTCTAAACTTCTTTTACTCAGAGTTGAGACAACAGTCTCTTTATCATTTCTATCTTGGTAGTTTCAGAACGTGCATTTTGGGTGGGAGCAGTTGCATTTGTATCTGACGCTGGCTTCAACTGGGTTCTTTGAAAGGAAATTGCAAAGGAAGTTAGAGCAGTAAAAATACCTGATTTTAAAGAAAGTGCTATCTTAGCTGATTCTGAGTTGGTTAACAGTTGTTTTAAACCCATAGGCTTTGTAATTCCTCTAATTTAAAATCCCATTTACTGAATTTGTGGGTATTCTTATAAATCCTGGCTGCTAATTCTTCTTTGGAATCCCACCAGGCTTTTGGATGCAGTGGTACCTAGTGGCAAAGAATTTTTTTTTATCACTGTTAAATATGCTGCCTCTTGAATTAATTCTCTTTGCCCTGAGAGAGGGCAAACAGTCCTGCAATTTACCTGAATCAGTGCTTTTCTTATATTCTCATGTAATTCATCTCCTTCTAACTCAGTAATCCAAGATGGCTCAGCCTCTCTTAAGAACAAGGTTTGCCTGAAAGCATTATCTTCCTTTTTTTGCAAATGTGGTGAAAAGAGGGTTTTTGTAGAAAAAAATATTGTTGAGTTCTGAAATTTTAAACTGGTTTTACTGTAAGAGGGGTACAGATCAGTAATGCAATAGAAAAGTTTTCAGACTTTTTAGATATATTACTCCTTCCTCCTGTTTGGAAACTTCAGCAGTGGTTGCTTTCTTTAGGATTTTATATAAATTTCTATACGCTTGTATTAAGGCTGTATATGCTTGTATGGGTTGTTGGTTTTCATTTTTTCACTTCCATTTTAAGCAATTTATTGTTTTTGTTTTACTTTGCCTCCTTGTCACAGAAACCAACCAGCAGCTGTGAACCTTTCAGATCTGTGATAGAAGAGAATGCCGTAAACTGTCAAATGTCATTTTAATTAATGTAAAGTGGGAGCCTGTCCTCCACTTATGGATTTGCAGAATAACCTTGCATTTGTTCACAGCTCTATTGCAGCAGAGAAGATGTCATTCAGTAGTCCTTAAGAACCAGCTAAATGTACCAAAAATGTAAATAGCTGTAATAGTTGCTATTGTAAAAAAGCTACTCAGCAGAAGGAAAATGAGCAGAGCTGAAGAGGTGGAAAGTCTAAAACTGATCTCCACGGGTGATATTAATCTGATTGTCTCTTCTCTTCTGACTTCATTTTTCTTTTTAATCTTCCTGTGTGACTGTCTTGTCATGTACTTAGCTAACATAATTACTCTGATTTCATGTAAATTATATTTTTAGCTTGGTTTCCCAAGAAAATAATACCTATCCTCTCTGTCCATCTCTGTTCCGTAATAACTTCTGAATCATTTAGCCTGGTTCAGACAGATTTGACAGGAGTTGAGGTCTAAAAGATTGGATTCCTGCAGGTTTTGTGAAAATTGTTAGCTGAATAAATCTGTGCATCTGCTGAAGGAAAAGGCTCTAGATTGAAAATGGTTGTTAGTTGTTCTGCCTGGCCTTCTGAGCTGATCGATTAAAACATCATGTTGGCCAGACAGAGCGTGCACACCTGAGATGTAGTGTATCTTGCATACTACTCAGCTGGGGTTGCAGTGGAACGGAAGATGCTGAGAGCAGTTTCTGGAGAAGTACTGGTAAGAGCTTGCGTGTCAGATGGAATGGTAGGGATAGCATTTGCCTAGAGAGGGGGAATACTGAGGATGCTGCAGCCAAGCTTGTTTTGTGACGCGTATTTCCACTGCTTCTTGTGGAATTTGATTCCACTTTGTTGAGAAGTTTCCGGGTTCTTCAAGTATGTCTTCATTTAGCAGTTCATATGCTGTTGGTGGCCATATGTGGCATGTTGCTGCGTGCAGGTAGTTTTTGTTTTTAAGTATTTGTGAGGTCCATGTCTTGAGCATCTTCAAGTGTTTCATAGAAGTGAAGAAAATGATGTAGCTTTTAGGGGTTAGTTCTGCAGTCTCTTCAAGCTGGTCAAGCTGCAGATTTCTAGTGAATAAGTCTTACTTTTTGGTGGCTGCATGTCCCCGCTCTCTGTCTTAAGTGAGCACCATTGGATGGGAGCTAGAAATCTCAATTTGGGAACTGAAGATGCTTGGGGAAGAATTCTGACTTTCAGACAGATTAGTTTCCTTATCTGTTTTACTGCAGGAGCAGTAATACCAGCACAGATATAGTAGTAGGAGTAATATAGCTGGCTTTGGAGGAAGAAATGGCTTTGTCTGCTGGTGGAAGCTGGCACCTCATTTAGTGTTTTAAGCCATTGTGGAACAGTGCTCTGTTCTTTCTTGCTTATCTCTGTCTGCAGTTTGGGACTTTGTGACTTCAAACTCCAGAAACTTTGATGTGAGCTATTCCATGTCTATTGGTAAGGAACACAGAGCTTTTGGAAGCATCTAAATTACTGATATATGTATGTCTTCTGCATGCTGCATAAGAGAAAGCAAAATTACTGGTAATAACTGCTTTCTCAGGGTTTTGAGTTGATTTATACACAAGACATCAGAAGGAACCTTGGGATTTCGATTGTGGAAGAAAATCTTGACCTGTGCATTGAATCAAGTGGTTCTTGATACCACAGACACAAAACCTAGATCCATGGTGATGTTGCTTGCTAGGAGAGAATCATCTTTGGATTTGAATCCCCAGCAATTCTTTGTGTCTACTGTTTGATGGATGTGAATTTTCTCTTTTATTGATATTTACTCACATTTTTCTGGTGGACTTTAAAGCAGTCTGGAGACATACAAAGGTGCTACTTTTCTGCAGTGTAGAGAGAACTTGTTAGGCACCAGGGCTGTTACACTTACAGTAAGGTGACAGTAACTTCTGCATCTTTTGGAAATGCTTACAGATGGTTGGAAGAGCTTGGATTTGGTTTTTGCTATCACTTCAGTATTGAAGAGCTGTGTTCTGCTCTGGACAAAGTTAGTGTGCACCATGCATGATACAGGTGCTTATTTCACCAGCTGTTGCCTTTACTTGGTGTATCTGCCATGAAAATTTGGAAGTGGAACCGGTCAGTCGATGAGGATTCAGGATTTCTGAAAGTCTGCTGTAGGTTTCATTTTACTTAACTTGTGCTGCTCCTGCAGAAAATGCAATCTGCCTTAAATGTAGGGATCTTTCAGCACATTGTGTCAAGGTAGGAACAGAGGAATTGAGAAGCCCCACTTACTGCTTTAAGAAAATGTAGGGTGAACTTGCATTCAGTGATTAATTACATTGTATTGCATTGTCCTTTAAGAAGCTCTCTGCATAAACTGCAATTTAGCACAAATTAATGAGTGAGGAAGGGTTATTTTTTACATCAAATTCATACATAAGTGTAATGTATGGGACTTGTGGTCAAACATGTATTTAGTGTTACTAAAATTCTGCATGAGCTGGGCTAATGATTTACAAAAAAGTGAACCAGAAGGAAGCTAGAACTGATGTGAGGATCCCCTTGGCAAATCTATAGAGGTTATGTGAAGATTATAGAGAGAGAAGTTCTGCAATTCAGAAGGCGAGTGAATGTATTCATGTGTGAATAATTGGTATTATAATAGTTTGAGTTATAGAAACTCAGTTCTAAAAAGCAGGATTCCTCTGACAATAGTATTTCTACTGCCTCTGGCACAAATAGTGCCAAAAGACTGACTATCAATGATACATTTCAGATGAGTAGTTCTGAAAGAAGTAATTGAAAAGGTGTTAATGCATTAACTTGCAATTGTATATGCTCTGCTAATTTTTTTTTCTTAAAGTTAACTCCGAGTTTTTCTTCTGTAAATGATTACCCCATTCTGTTACTGAGAACTTCAATGTATTATGAACCGTACAGACTGCAAAATAAAAAGAATGTGATGCTGATCTGGATGGTTAACAGTCCTGCAGAAGATGAACGTGAAAGCAGGGAAGAGGGAACTCCAGATTAAGTTCATTATTTAGTAGCAATCCACGAGCGTTTGCTTTTTAGCTTTATATGAGTTTTACCCAATGCTAGCTCCTATTTGCTTTTTGGACTGTAGGTTATCAGGTCCATGTCAGTCCTAGAATCGTTAAGGTTGGAAAATTGCTCTTAGATCATCTAGTTTAACATCTACACCCTTAGCAACGCCTTATTTTTTCCCCATAAATGTAAAGAGAATGTAGATAATGAAATCTAGTGCAGGTTTCCACCTGGTGCACTCCATGCCGTTCCCTCAGCCCTGTCACAGAGCAGAGCTCAGCGCTGCCCTTCTGCTCCCTCTGAGGAGCTGCAGCCGCCATCAGGCCTCCCCTCAGCTCCTCTGCTCTGGGCTGAGCAAACCAAGGAGCCTCACCCGCTCCTCTTGCACTCCAGACCCCACCCCATTTTCATAGCCCTTTTTAGGATATTCTCTATTAGTTTTACGTTCTTCTGTTGTGGTACCCAAAACTGTGCACGGTGCTGCAGGTGAGGCTGTACCAGAGAGCTGAGCGGGACGGTTCCTTCTCTCGCCCAGCTGGCAGTGCTAAGCCTGATGCTCTGCAACTTTCTGTCATTTCATTCTCCACGCTTGTACCTGCATAGTGCTTGCATCTTAAAAGCAATTTAATAAACACTGATCTTTGTAACTCGGTGTGAAGCTGGCAGTTACAGGCCTAGGACTTAATACCCCATAAATCAAGGCAACCTACGAATAGCAGGAACGTTATGGAGGTGCTCAGCACGTCCCCATTTTGAAATGGAGAAGTTGTTAATCTGCTAAGTATTGGCTAGCATTTTCAGTTATCAACACTTGACTGCAACTTTGCAAAATAATGAACAGCTTACATTGTTGCCTTAATATGAATATAGGCATTTCCATTTTTCTCAGTCTTTTCCTTAGTCTTCTGAGCTGTGTCTTACTCGTGCTCTTGCAAAAGATAAAGTAAAAAAGTATGGATATGGAGTAATGGAAAAAGGATCATGTACCAGTGTTGCTTCAGGTTGAGTTGCATATAGTGAGAGAAAGATATTGATGATGATGCTGGATTAGTAAGTTCTTTTTAAGAGGCTGTTTTCTGTTCTTCATGCAGACTCATTGCATAAATGCAAGTTTGTCAGGTCTTGCTGTAGAATGAGTTGCTAAAATAGTCTGGACTTGGAAAAAAAAAAAAAAAAAAAAGACCTTTTAAAGCCACATTCTGTCAGTGCAGTGACCTTGTGTACAGAGCTGAGAGTGAACAGGAGGTGAAGGAGAGGATTACTCCTTAGGTGACTTAATAACTGAAGATGTGTTTGAATTGACAATGGAGATAAATAGAAATGAGAAGTTCAAACTGGATGTAAGGCGAAATGCTGTTTTGGCACAACAATTGTGCGTCAGAAGAAGCAACATGGAGGTCATGTAGTCTGCATCTATGGAGTTTTTCAATACTTGACTAGATAAAGCTGTGAGCAACCTGATCTGCCCTCATAGCTAACCTTATTTTGAGCAGAAGTTTGATATAGAGGATTCCTGATGTACCCTCCAACATGAATTATCTATCAGTCCATGGGTTTTACTTCCATCTCTTTTGCTGTATAATGCATTCAAGTAGCTGGTGTTACAAAAAGGGGGCTGAGTTCTACATCATTGCTTAGCTGTTTTCTTTGAGTGATTTACCTGCAAATGAATATGTACTGTGTATAAAAGGCATTGAGTAGGATACAGCATATTCAAATGTACTAGTCTGTTTAATGGAAAGGACTTGCATGTCTAAATTTCTTTTTTCCTTGCAATTCAGTTCGAATAAGGAGAAAGTCAAGACGGCGCTCACAGTGGGGCAAAGGCATTATTAAGAAGAGGAAAGTCAATAATTTAAAGAAAGATGAAGATGATGCAAAGTTTGCTGACGATGAAAATCATGGAGAGGACAGTAAATTGCTGGAAAATGGTGAGCTAGAAATCAGCACTGACTGCATTGAGGAGAATGGGGAGGAAATAGGAGATCTCTCTATGACAAATGATGAATCCTCTTGTGATATTATGGATATAGATGCAGAGCAGAGGCTTAACAATGGGACATCAGGAAAGGAAAACAACTTTGCATCTACGGAAGAAGAGAGCTCAAATGAATCTCTCTTAATAACTGAGAGAGTTACTCTGAATGCTGAAAAGGATTTAAGGAAAGACTCTACACTGAAAGGAGACTGTGTAAATGGAGAGACGTCTGTACACAGTTTAGAGGGTATACCTGTTCCAGCATGCCATAATGGTAAAGTGGAATCAGTTGATGCTGCTTCAACCAATGACAACAGCACTGGATCTAGTGACAAGAAAAAATCTTCTGAAGATCAGCCAAAGGACAAAACAGAACCTTGCAGTGAGAACCAAGGAGATGATTTACTGAAAGCAGAGGTACCACACTGCAGCAATAATGGAAAAACACTACAGAGCACAGACCTTGAGACTAAAGATGCTGAGCCAGATAAAGAAGGTATAGTTTATTCTCAGTGTCAATTTAGTGTCCATGTTAATGTATGTATTTTTAATTGTAACAACTTGAGTTACAATTCTTATTATATTTTATGATCTCCTGCCTAGTTATTTGAAACTTATGCTTATACCATTTAATTCCACATAAATCAATTAAAAGCTCACTGTTGACTTGCTGTAACATTATCTTAAGCAAATAAGTTTATCTTCATACTTAAAGTATTCTGGTTTTTTTAATGCTTTATTGGGGGGAGGCATTGTAAGTATTGTGATAACATTATTTACATTACAATTCAAGATTTACAAACTGTTATCGATGAATATAAATAACTGTATGGTATGTTATGTATTTTGGTATAGATGATACATTCCTTGATATTTTTTGGTGGAATTTGTCATAAAAATTGTCATTTAAGTTAGATCAAAAACCACAGAAATATAGAATGTATTTAATCTTGAATGTCTCCTTTTAAAAAAAAAGTGTATGCTCATAACAAAAGTTAAAATAGTTTAAGTCAGCAAAAGCCAGAGACAGCATTGTTTATCTAATGGAGTAAATATCCGGATTGACAGTCAGTGCAGTAGTAGTGCCACAAAAAGATAAGAGAAAGGGAAGGGAAATCCTGGTGGTGCATAAAAGAAGGGACTGTGTCCTTTGAAGAGAAGAGACATAGTTTCCTCGGGGAAGATAAATAAAAGCCTTATGCATGATTGCCTTTTTAATTAGCTTTTCAGAATTATGTAAAAGAGTGAAATCTTTACTTCAAAAGTTAGCACTGAGATTTACAAAATAAATGAGCTTTAATGAGAGAGATGAATTATGAGAATATCACTGTATACACGTTGAAAATGTGTGTATACACATTTTCTCTAAGGATAAGGAGTGTAGCTGAGGAAAGCTCCTAAGGTTATCAGAAGAACAGAACGAAGTGTGTTAGGGCCATTAGACTTCTGAATTTAATAGTTGTCTTTTGAATGCATTAAGGATGATTGTAAGTAAGGGGAGGTCCTTAGGCAAAACAAACAAACAAACAAAAAAAAGAACAAAAACAGAATTTGAAATAGTTGTAGAGGAGAAAGACAATGAATAAGTGTAGGGATAGAATCAAGAGACTAAAAATATTTTGTTCTCTGCAACAGGGCTGGACAGCAGCTTTAATACCGAGATAGATGAAATGAGAAGTCATAGCAAAAGGTGAAGTTTTGGGCGTAGAGCAGATGTGAAAATTACTGTGATAAGAATTACTGTGATGATGAGAACAGGGAATGCTTTGAAAAGGAAAAGTGAGAATTTTGAATCTCTTAGGAAGATCTCAGGAGTTAGCTGGATATCTGAACTTCCTTTGGAAGTCACGTAATTGGATGTTAAGCAAAAACAATGCATAGGAGAGATTTCCAGTGACATTCAATATTCTGTTGGGACTTCAGAGTTCAGTTTTGAAGGTGATGTGTTTCTCGTGTGCCTTATGAACTGTGATTTTAGTTCTCATAAACCTTGAGAATTCTGTGAAGCTGATTAATATTGCACACTGGCAATGTCATGCTTTCCTGGTTCACGCAATCCCAGCAAAATCAAGCCAAAGCTGGGACGAAAGCTGTTTATTTTGTGTAACTGACATGACTAATGGCTGCTTTTTTTTCCCCCTCCCTTAAATTACAGGTATGTTCAAGAGTAAGAAAACTAGAAAAGTCACTGTGGAACAGTCAAAACTTGCAAGTCTGGAGCATGTCCCAGAGGAACCATCAGATCCATTACCCTCTGTAGTTGTTGACCATGACAGACTAAAGGTAATGGAACTGAAAAACAAATTGACTAGTAACATGAAAAATGTTTCCTTCCTCTGTTATAAAGTAAAATTTCCTTTTATTTTTGGTTACAAAGTAGGATTTTGGCACCTGTGACCTCTGACTTGTTGATCAGTGTTGTTTGTTTGTTTGTTTTTGTTTTGGATGAAAAGTAAATAAAACTGCTGAAACCTTATTGTCCCATTATTACTACCTTTACAAATACAGTGATGACATGGCAGTCCATTATTTTAATTGTGGCTTTTGATGATACTCTTATGTGCTAATTGCATGTCAGTAATTGAGAAATTTCTGGGTGCCTGGTAATTAGGAGTTAACATATAATTTCCTGTCCCGTGGATGTATGCTTGGTGGAAAGGAATGTTAAGGAATTGGAAAGTAAATTGGAATTTGTGCTAATGTTTTGGGGCTACAGGTCAAACCTCTGCTAGTTAATTTTGTTTCACTTCTGTCTAAATTTAAGCAAAGTTGAAACAGATTTTGCCATCTTCTGTGGTAGAAACTAGCTTGACTTATGAAGAAATTTAGACTCCTTTGCTTTTTGCATCATTTGTTTATCAGCAGTTTTACACGTTTTCCCTACAGATGCTTTTTATTGTATCATTGTGTGACATTTGTGGAATTCCAGATGTGTTTCCATTTGGCACTTTCAAAATTTCATGTCAACACAAAAGTTCTTGAGTGTTCACCTACCAAGACACTTTTTATGGTTTGCTTTATTTATAAACAACAATAATAACAACCAAGATGCAATAGGATTAAGTATAATTCCAAGAAGAGCAAAGAATGCACTGGTTATGCTATGCATAAACACTGAGAAAAGCATGGCTGTAAATACAGAAGTAAGATAAACACTGTGTTCTGTTGAATTAATATGGATGCACTGGTCTTAATAATAGCCAGATTTGGTCCATTTTGCTTCTATGTATCTCTGTAGAGTTTCAGAAGCAGATTGCTCCAATTTGTCCTTAAAAGAAGAAGAAAGAAAAGCTAAAGAAGAAAAGATTATAAAAGTTCTTTAAACTTCACCCTTTGTTCCAACAGAAACTGCTTTATTTAGTGGTTAAGAAAAGTGACAACTTGACTGTTGACCAACTTGAGAGATTGTATTCACTCCTCAGCCAATGCATCTACAGGCATCGTAGAGACTATGACAAATCACAACTTATAGAGGTGATGTTACACAGTTTGTTTTATTTATTTGACTTCTGTGAGACTGGTTTTCCAAGAATAGTTAATCTATGACTTTATTGTTGTACTAGCACATAAGAGCTCTAAGCAGACATAGAGGAAGGTGTGTATTTATGAGCAGAAGAAAGTGTAGCATAGTAATTACTTAAACAGAGATTGTCTCTATTTATACTTCCCTCAGAAAAGGATTAAGAATTTAACCTAAAAGAACAGAGAAAAAGGAGGACAGAATGCAGCAGCATTTAGGTGCATTTGCTAGCAGAGTAAGAATGGAACAGAAACAGGAGCTTTCAGGTGGTCATCTTGGCTTTCAAAATGTTATTCCAACTAAGTAGCTCAATTTTCATTATTCTTGTGCAGCACTGATAAACAAGCTTGATTGTAGCTATTTTATATGGAAGTCTGTAAAAATAATGTTGGGAATGCTTTATGGGTAGAATCATAGAATGGTTTGGGTTGGAAGGGACCTTTAAAAATAATGTTATCCGACTTCCCTGTCCTGGACTGGGACACCATTCACTAGATTAGGTTTCCCTCCTAGTGAGTGAATGTATCAGTCCAGACATCCCTTTCCTTGTTCTTCACTGATTTGCATTATGTTATTCAACCTAGGTGAAAATACGTCATCTTCTGGAGCCATAAGTTTAAACTGTGGGCAGATTTTTTTTAATTAACCTTTATTTGTTTGATGGGAATAATTCAATTCCTGTGCCAGAAGTTTCCAAATTTAGCAGCACAAATAACATTGAAGTTAGAGGCTATGGTTGCTTCTTGTGCCCCGCTTGCATTTGTGTTATTAAGCCAAAAAAAAAGTATTTATCTTCATGCAGTTTTGCAGTTTGCTGTTTGGGACTTTCCCACAAAACTGAAAGTATGCAAGCTTTTTCTGAATTGGAAAATAAACTCTTGATGGTCTTGGGAAAGTCCTGCACAGTGTGATGTAGGGCAGTTGCCTGCTCTGCTGACAGCATTTCCTTTTAAAGCGTTTTCATTTCAAAGGCCTTCTGTATACATCAGGAGTAAGTGGGTCATTTCACCACTGATGTAGACTGATCATAACTCTGGACATGCTTTCCCTCCAGCAACGTTGTTCTAACTGCTGAATAGTTCAGATCAACTTTGGGATTCAACTGTTAACCCTGCTGATAAAGAGACAACAATTGCTAGTTTCTAATTGGAACCCTGGACCCCGAATACTTTTCTCCATGAATATTTTATTACAGAATCTGGAGAGGCCGTAGCATAGGGTATTGTCCTGCAAAATAATTTAAACCATTTTTATACTCTTCCTCTGCCACCTTCACCTGGAAGTGTGCTGGAAATCTGTGCCAAATATTATGTAGATTAAAAGGACATCTGTGCAGAAAATCTTCAGAGACAGATCCTTACTTTGATTCTCCAAACCATGCAGTTAGGTGTTTACAGTCAAGATACCAATAGCTCAAATGTGCAGTAAGACCTGGATTCATGCCGTGTGCTATCACAATGCTTTCTTAATAACACTTATCAAGTACCTGAATTATATACATGACTCTGCTAGCCTTGGATCTTGTCATGGATTGTAATATTGGAGTGCTTTTCTGCATTAAGATCTTCCTAAGTAGTGTCCTCTTTTACCATCTTTTGCTAACAGATGAGAGCTAATAAACAGAAACATCTGTTCTCCTGTGAACTACTTGTTTGGATTTCAAGAAAAGAAACAGTGATGCCTCAGTGAATATGATGATGTAATATAACTTTATTTTTCTCACTCTCTATACTTGTGTATAATTGAAGTTCTGTGTTTTTTTTGCAGGAGATGGAAAGAACAGTTCATGTGTTTGAAACATTCCTGTGAACTCGTCAAGATGGGTGGGTTTGTCCTCTCTTAAACTGCTCATGGGAGAGCAGTCCTCTGAGCCATTCAGTTTCCATTTGCACCAAGTATGTGCAGAGCCTTGGTCTTAAGTGCTCTCTCTTTTTCTTTCTGTTGAATTTGGTGCTATTGTCTCAGGTACCTGAAACCAACCAGCCTACAAGAACCAAACGGAACTTCAAATAGTTGTATCTGATATAAATAAAGAATACAATGCCACACCTTGGAGATTTTTGGTGCTACAGAAACTGTTCTCTCTTCTGCTCTTGTTCACTCTACATGCATTATCTCTGGTGAAACTTCAGGCAAAGTGGAGACCAACATACGTGAGAGAACTGAAAAGAGCAGATCTAAGTTGAATATTTTTAAACAGGCAACCTTTTTTATTTTTTTTTTCCAATCTTTCTCTTCTCTGGGGCAATGGACAAAAAAATCTGTTCTAAAGAAGGCAATGATGCATTGTGGTAGGAATCTTGAGTAACTGGATGTACAGTAATTTGAAGATGAGGCTCTCTAGAACTGCCTATTATGTGCCTTTTAGTCAATTGAGAAAGATAAGGCTAATCAATTGGTTTGGATTATAGCAAATGGCAATGTTAGAAAGCTCTCTTCAGAATGACGATCTGTAGATCGTATTTGTGTTCTCTTCATTGGATGGCAGCCAGTATTATGATTCTATAATGCCTGTCTTACTCTACAGAACTAAACTAAGACACGCTGAAAAAGCCACATACTTTACCAAAATGGTGAAATTTCTTTTTCATTGATACAGACTTGTTTTAGAAACAAGTTACACAGTGAAACTCCTCTGTGTTGCTAAAAGTGAAGCGTTTTCCCACCATTCCTTTGTTGTCCATCTGGAGTTTCTTTAAGAAAAGCCAGTTTAATACTGGCAGGTTTCTGTGTTTGTAATATAGCTTGGACTGTGCAGTGCAGGTAAGAAGATGTCGGTCAAAATCCTGGAGCCCAGGCTCACCTGAAAGTCAAACTTAAAGTAGGCTTCACGACTCAGTCAATGCAAAGCACTGTTAATGTCAGGAGACTGGAGGACAGCCTTTCAAATCGATCTGTTCGGACCACAGTTCTCCAGTCTGAATTGTGTAGTTCAAAATCTTTCCTCTCTGGAAACTGAAGAAAACAGTCTAGGCAGTTTCAAGAAAAAAGTTTTGTCACGAGCTCGGTATTAAGATGCTACCTGGGCTGATTTCTTTCAAATGTAAGTGGAAACTGTTGTAGAGAAGTTGGCTGGTGTTACTGTCTCTACCCATCCATCGTATCCCTACGTAGCTGCGGAAGTGTCTTTCCAGAAATATGCAACACAGTGTGATTAGTTTTTAATTAGAGAAAACAGTCTTGGACTACTGCAGAGATACTGAGCTACCTCAGCTTTTTGTATTTTAGTTACCAACAGTGTTTATTGAGGACTGTAATCACTCTGCTCCCATTTACAAGCTGAAGCTAAGGTACTTGTCTCCACCTCTATGGCTAATAGTAGTAAACCACTGCAGAGAAACAAACACGGGCCTTGGGCTACTGCAGTAATCCAAAGTGCTTTGTATATTATAATTCAACATAATTCTGTCTTGGAACTATTTCTCCCCTGAATGCCACTGTTTTTCTTTGTAGCTAATGGCAGAAAAAGGTTTTAGGTATTCTTGTACATCTAGTTACACCTAAATGCAACCCATGCAGAATCGCTGTATTTTTTAGGTGGGAAAGTGCGATTAAAAACAACAAAAACAAGCAGAAAACACATTTTAGATGAGATTCTTTGATCTCAGATTTGTTTAGGGGATTTTTTTTCACGTTTTGTTTAGTATTTATTAGCGTCATACCTGTTTGAGATATTTTTGTGTCTGGTACATTAACAGCATTTTGTATTTTGATGGAAATTGTTACAAACTTTAAGATTTGATTAAATAAAATGTAGCAGATTTTTTGTAGCAAGTTTCTGATAAAAGGGTTTTTTGCAAGTCTCAGGTTCTTGCTGCAGAATTTTTTAAAAATATTTATTCCAGTTTCACTTACTCAAAGGAGTTTTTGTTCAAGTAACAGCAGCACTTGTGGAAGATAAAACTGCATACGTTTTTAAGACGATAATAAATTTATATGAATTAAAACAGTTGAGAAGTTTAGTCACCAGTGAGTGTAAAATGCAAGTTTAAGCTAATGCCTGGCATTAAAAATGGTTCTGAAAAGTCATGTTTCTAAAGGAAAATTTTTACTGTCAGTTGTTGATTGGGAAAAATCTTAAGAGGCGGCTCTGCGAATAGGGGAGCTGCCATGTTGTTTAGAGAAAAGTAGCTGATTTCAAATGTGGTAGTGGACAGCCTACATAAAATGATATACCCGCCTTCGTAGCCCAAATAACCACAGTTCAGTTTTGTTTTCCTTTACAGATGTCTGGTGGTTCTAGAGTTAAAGCAGCTGTTAATCTATCCATGTGGTCTAAACTTGTTTACTCTTTGTATGTTTTTATTTTTAATTTTTTATTTTATTTTTTTTTTTTTGCCATATAGCACTGGCAAGAATTTGTACAAATTGACCTCTCTTCCTTGTTTCTTATTGTGAAAATTGCAAATAAACTCCTGTGTGAGTCCTGGGGTCAATGAAACGTGGCTACCCATGAGAGAGGAGGTGGGGCTGTACTGGAGATGGAGTTGCTCTTGGGTGGAGTTGATGGCTATGGAGTTGATTGTATTTGCAAGCTTGAATCTCACCTGTGATTAATTATTTTTTGTTTTGTGTCCTCTGTATTGTTACTTGATTTCCTCATATGCCAATGTATTTATAGGATTACTGGTTTTTGTAATATCCTGTCTTCCTTTTTTTTTGTTTGTTTGTTTTGGTGGGTTGGTGGGTCAGCTGTGGCTTATCCTTCAGGCTCCTGAATGGCAGGTCCTGCAGCTGATAGTCATTTATTTTATTTTTATTTTATTTTGTAATCACAACATAAGCTTGAATTTGGGCTTGTACTTGCATCTTTTGTATCCTGTACATTGGGTTATTTAGACATTGGGGAGTCCTGTTTGGTTTCATTAACGTGTGTCTACTTGGTGGATTAAGTAGACTTCCTTCATCAACTATGGTATATTTTGAATTCTATAGTTTTATTCAGAACTGTGTTCAAATTGATGTTTTGCAGTTTGACTTCATTTTACGTTAGTTTGAAGTAAGTTATTTAATTTTTTGAACTTCTGGAAATTTTGAACATTTTACTGTAATTTGTAATATAACTGCTGTGAAATACTTGAATAAAGATGACAAGAAAACACAGCTTTAAGTTCCTTCAAGAACGTTGTGTTTAAAAGCAATTCTGCCTCTTAGCTGGTTGCAGTCTTTTTGTACAGACTTCCCTGGTGGTCGCAGGTGACATGTTTTACTCTGGGATTTTGCTGTGTTGTTGTTTGCGGTGGTTTAATGTGTGACTCTTGCTTTTGGTGTTCGTCCATTAAAGTCCTGATTAATTTTGACTGAAGAAGGGAAATGAGCATTGTACGTTGCCAGGTGAATAATGTAATTATGAGTTCAAGCTCCGTGCTTAGGAAATGTTTCATGTTGAGTTGTGGGAAGACACCCAGGGCTGCGTATGGTATGCAGGTCGTACCAGAATTTCTAGTTAGAGGTCTTTAAGGAAACACTTTCTCATTCTTCCCTAAATACCATAGTTATCCTTACTTTTAATTTATTTATTTATTTTTAAGAAAAAGATCATTTATATCTAACAAAACTGTCAGAGGTTATGGAAATTCAGGATCAACCCACATCTCACTTGTGTTAGGTCTACATTGGCAATTTTTCCAGAGCTAAGTGTTGGTAACTTGTGTAATGTGGCACAGAGCGTTGCACAGATCTGTAGGGCTTCTCGTTGGCTCTTCTTCCTCTCTGCTCCTCAAACTATAGGGTTCCTGGAAGATACCCTATAAGTTAAGTAAAGAGGGTAGCAACTTTTTCCATGCCTGACTTGACTCTTAAATACTGCACTGTTAGATCTTACGTAGAATGTGGGGAAGCACTCATTGAACGAGGTGATCGGTTGTAGCCTGGCTCATTCCGTGTCAGCTTGAATAGGTTTGCTGGATCTAAAGGCCACGAGACTTGCTGCCCTACAGACACCCAACACTGTCCAGGGAATCTGCAGGCTCTGATCAAAGAGTGCAGAGCTGAGGGCTTGCTCTTGTTCTGTTTTCATGAGTGGTGATGGCCACCTTAATGGAGGGAACAGTGGCAGGCCTAATTTCTGGCAGCGGTGGTAAAGATGAGCATTCAAAAGAGACAAAACTGTGCTTTATTGGGGCGTTGGAAAAACATTTCTTGGAAAATTAGCGAGCTCTGGTGCTTCAGAAGCGTGAATTAGTGAGCAGTAGTTGAGTTTCATGTGCTGTTAATAAAGCCTTTGTGAAAACTGGAGCAGCACCCTTGTTTGTCCAATGTGTGCTGCTCAAGCCTGCTTGCTTCTCCTGTTGTTTTCTGCATTTAGTGCAGTTTTGACGTGCATTTTCCTATACTGCTCTAAATTTGAAGTGCTGCACATCTCCTTTTTCCTTTAAGCTGCTCAAATATTTTATTTAAATAAATTAGAAACGAGATTCTTTTGTTCTCTGTTTCAGGCAGGATTTTGTTTGGGACTTGCAGTATTTGGAGTTTTAAACTGGCGCTGAATGTGACTAAACACTGAAAGCCAAATCAGTAAACTTATGTACTGATTAATGAAGTTAAACACTTCATTTTTCTCCCCCTTTTATGCATCACTTGCAGTCATGTAACTATTATGTAAAAATGAGGGATTATAAACTTTAACTTCAATTAATTCAGCCTCATTCAATTTCTAGGTGAGTAAATTTTTTTTTATAGTTATCATTTGCATAGGGAATATATTTCTGTTTAACCAAACGCCAGGAAACGTCTGCAACTACTGCTAAATTCCACTTATTTTTGGGATGCATTTGAGTTATGCTACATCGAGGCTCATTTTTATAGTGGAGAGTTACCGTACTTTAAAAAAATATGACAAGATGCTGAGATTTAAAATGGATTCACCACTTCCAGTGGAATCTTAGTGTAAACCTGGCCATCCTTATCAAGGTTTGCTAATGACTGGATGCTGATTTGGAATAAAGGTGCTTTCAGGGTTCAAGTACAGGAGGTGCTCTTGGATTAGTCTGTGCTAGAAGGCTCCTCACGTTCAGTCTGCACTTGGGACATCAGTGCTGCAGCACTTAGGGTGT